ATCTTCGAAAATCCTTCGGCAAGACCTTGAAAATATATACGAAAAAATTCAAGATTTCCCACCAGGAATTATTTGAGCTCTTTAAAAAAAATCATAATTTTTGTTCAAAAAGTCCTCAAAAGTACTTTTTTCAAAAATCGGAAATTGTAGTCCATAAATACTCTTAAAAATCTACAGTTTATATGGGACATTAGAAATATTTTTTTTAAATTCCACAATTAGTTTTTAGCTGGAAAAATTTTTAAAAAATCCAATATTCTTGACCGGGACATGAAAAATATAAAAAAGGCCATGACATTTAGTCTGGAAATCTTTTATGAAAATCCACTTTTTTATTCAACCTAAAAAAGCCTTAGCACCTGGGGACTTATCGGTATTGAGGGAATTATTGATTACACTTCATAAACATAAGCACTCGTGTTTCCCCGTTTTCGGCAATCCCTATTACACTTGTATGCCATCGCTTGTAAATATTAGGTGAAGAGTGGGTTGGGGGAGTGCTGGTGATTTCCCATACAATCAGACTGTCTGACTGCCGCATAGACAGACAACGATGGCCAGTCTGTCTATGAATAAATGAATGAGGATATGACTGAGTGACCTGGTAAGCATGAAATAGAATGAAACTACCGGGCATGGGGTGAAACTTTGATGGATTTCAGGTAAACCTAAAGAAAAAGTTGCCACTAGCACCACTAGAACCATGGTGAGAAACATAAAACTCAAAATGACATTTAATTATTAATATTTAATGAGGATTTGTTTTAGATATGCCATGGAAAGGTAATAACCACAAGACACCCCCACATGCATACTCACACACACTCACTCAGCTGTTTTGTAATATGACCACGTTCCATAAAAACAGTAGAGCTTTTATGGTTGATAGTAGTAGTAGTAGAATATTCAGTCACTATAATAAAATTGCATTTGAATTTGTTTTTTTTTTCTGTGGGGAAGAGGGGAGGTGAAACCCTAGAAACCATTTGTTTTTAATACGCTCGCTCCTTGCTCCCCCCATTGCTTCTAATGACAGTTTTTTCCACAATGTTGTAGTTGGTTGTTTTTTTATTTGTTATTACTGTTGTCTCTTGGCGGACTCAGGGGTTTTTCATATTTTTCACTTTTGTTTTTTTTTTTTCTTTTTGTATTTTTAGTGAGAGTTTTTCCAGTTTTTATTCGTTTCAGGGTTTCTTTACCCAAGTCAATGGTTGTTGCTCCTTTTTTGCTGTTGTTTTCAATAACCAGCCAAACAGTTATTTGTTTAAAACTGTTTGAAAGGACATGTTCGGATAATAAACAAAAATAAAAAACCGCGCAATTAAATCAGAGAGTGAGTTGTTGTGGATAAAAAAATATATGTGGTTAATAAAATATTTAAAGTGGAGAAATGGAAAGTTTAAAAATAAATAATTTGGTAGAGAAATAGTTTCATGAAAAATTAATTGTGATACACAAAAATTTATATAAAAAAGAAACAAAAAACAGTAAAATAAATTATTAAAAATAATGGGATATATAAAATATTGTATTATACCTTAAAGGATAACCCAGTGGTTTTTGAAAAAAAAATAATTTTAAATTCAATTTATAAAAAAAAACAAGATATCCTGGAGATATCCTGGAGATTTCCTCAGATTTTTTTTTGTTTTTTTTTTTGAATCTCTTATTCAAAAATAGTGGGTCCTTTAAGAATTGTTATTGAGAAGAACTTTGCAAAATAAAGTGAATTTTTAAAGACTCCAGACTTTTTAAAATTTCCGGAGCAAAAGCGCAGATTTTTCAATATTCATTTAAAAACCTAGTAAGCAAAGGCTATAGTCGTGTGGGGCCTACCATGTGATACCCTACAACACTAAAATATGTTATAAGCCCCCTTATGTCCAAATCCATATTGGAAGATTTCGCTTCTGAAATTATGTCACGGAGCACTGCCCAGATATTACCCTTAGAATTTTGACCAGGGACATTTACGCACTCCGTCGTGCTGTTAGTTGTTGTGGTCCATATTACAGCTAAATATAATGGTCATCCAAAATGCTAGAATTCTTCCCTGTCCTTAACTCTCTTCTCAAGCGTGTCGATTGGGATTCCAAGATTTTTTTTTGTTTTTGGTTCATTTGAACCCCTAAATATTTTGCGAATGGTTACAAAATGTGGTTCCTCGCTTCATTTCCAGCGCACAATGGCCACCAAAATCTCCGGATGCCAATCCGTTCGACTATTTTGTCTGAAGTATTATGGAAAGCAAGGTTGTTGGTTCACAACAGATCTTGTGTTACCAAAAATGCTTGTATGTGTGAGCTTTGAAGAGAGATGGATCCTTTTTTCGCTTTCTTTGAGCGTTTTGTTGTTCAAGATCTTGAACCCTATGTGGGAGAGGTACCAGAAGGAATGGTCCGATATCTTCCATCTTTATAGCAGATTTTGTGTTGATAGAAATTAAGAGATGTACCAAGTCTGACTGGAATCGGATGTTAACTTCGCCTTTTATGAGCTTCATGGATATTCCGCATTTGAAAATTTGTGGGGGAGATACTATAAAGAGTGGACCGATATATTCCATCTACACAGTAGATCTTGTGTTGGTAGAAATAATGGGATATGCGAAATTTGAAGAGAGTCAGATGCTTATTTCGGATTTTATTCAAAACGTTGACCAGAGGTACCAGAAGGAATGATCCGATCCCTACCATCTTTATAACAGATCTTGTGTTGATAGAAATATTGAGATGTACCAAGTCTGAATGGTATCGGATGTTGATTTCACGTTTTATGAGCTTAATGCATATTCAAAATTTTGATCCTTTGTGGAGGAGGTACTAGAAGAAGTGGTCCTATGTATCCCATCTTCATATCATATCTTGTGTTAGTAAAAATAATGGGATATGTGAAATTTGAAGAGAGTGAGATGCTTATTTCGGATTTTATGATCGTTTTGGTTATCCAAAACTTTGACCCCTTGTGGTGGGTACCAGAAGGAATGGTCCGATCTCTACCATCTTTATAACAAATCTTGTGTTGATGGAAATATTGAAATATACCAAGTCTCAATAGAATCTAATATTAATTTCGCGTATTATAAGCTTCATGGATATTCAATATTTTCTACTCTTTGTGGGGGGAGATACTAGAAGGAGTAGACCGATATTGTCCATCTTAACACCAGGCCTTGGGTTAATATAAATTTTGGGATGTGTGAAGTTTGAAGACAATCAAAATATTTACCCTTTGTGGGTGAGGTACCTGACCTAGAACAGACGCAAATATTATGATTTGCAAAGGTTGAGCAAAATCGGATTATTCTCTGTATGTGCAGTAAAACGTCTATTTTGAAAATTTCGCCCCTTTTGATGAATGTACTTGATGGACCGATCTTACCCATTTTCATAGCTGCACTGATGAAAAAATGAGGACTTGTAAAATTAAACCAAAATCGGATTATTCTTTATCTTTCTGTGCAGTAAAATATTTTTTTTTGAAAATTTCAACCATTTGTGGGAGAGGTTCCAGAAGGAGTGGACCGATATTGCCCATCTCTGAACTCGATCTAAGTTTGACGATAATATTACTATGTACCATGGTTGCATCAAATCGTATACTCCCTTCGAGAGTTATCGTGTACATCAGACAGTCAGACAAACGTATCAAATGATATATACCCTCTATAGCCATATGGCTGAGTGTATAAAAAACAATTGAAAAAGCTGTAAGTTCGGCCGAGCAGAACTTTGAATATCTTCCACCATTTGGAACGAATTTGGCAAATCTCAAAAACAATAAAATCCGTTAAAAATTCTGTTAAAATCTTAAAAAAACCGAATGTAGCTTTCATATTAGGGTCTATATGACAACATGGACCTGCATAGGTAACTTTTGTCATAAGCCATTACAATATTCAAATGCGAAACTAAAAAAAAATCGATGAATAATGTAGCTAAAATCATCAAAATACCGAACATCGGGAGGTACCGTTATATGGGGGCTATAACAAAATGTTAACTTGCACAGACAATTTTTTTTTTTGTTTTAGGCTGCAGTATCTATTACGAACTTCAAATTCCAAAATTGAAACAATTCTGATGAATAATGTCACTAAAATTATCAAAATACCGAATATCGGGAGGTACCGTTGTATGAGGCTATACCAAAACGTGGACCTACATGGTAAATTCTCAATACCAAAAGTCCTGATGACATAATATACATTTGAGTAAAATTTTATCAATCTACTTCAATTCGTTCCGAAGTTAGAGTTTTTCCACAGGCGGGCAGCGGACGGACATCGCTAAATCGACATTGAATTTTATGCTGATCGAGAATATATACTTTGTGGGGTCTAAAATGTATATTTCGAGGTGTTACAAACGGAATGACAAACTTAATATACCCTCCATACTATGGTGGAGGGTATAAATACTGTCGCTCTAATAAGCTCCGACATCTATATTGTTTTGGCAATGCACCTATTGTTGGTGTTAAAACGGACAATATTGGTCCTACTTTCGGCACTAACACTGGGCACCGGTACCTCCTGGTTTTCGATATTTTGATCATTTTAGTCATAATTTCCAATCAAATGGTTAGTGTTCTTCAAATGTGTATCACTCATTAATTTCCATAGAAATAGGTTTTTGATGATTAAAGTTACCTCCTGCTAGGCGTAGAAGCATTCCAACTCAATAAACGCCCTACTTATAAATCTGGGTATTATTTGTCCGTGTTTGGACTTTGTAAGCGATTTTTTGATATGACACTAAAATTGGCAAATTTTTATTGAAAAACAAATATTTTAAAAATCAATTTAGAATATTTTTTTTACTGATTTTTATAAATTCTAATTATCCATGAAATTTAAAAAAAATTGCCTTCAAAAATAGCAATTTGAAAAATATTTCGATCTTATTTTATTTTGAATCCCAATTTCTAGTTAATTTACAACGCATGATTTCCAAATATTTCTAATTTTTTTAATTTCCCTCCCTTATCTTTGATTTCAGATCAGAAAATTGAACACCACCCAAATGTATGGCCTTAAAAAATAGGAGAACAACAACAACAGCAACAGCAGCAACAATCAAAACAAATCTGGAGCAGATTCCGTGAAACAAATAATGGATACAGCTGGTGGTGCGGTAGCAGCAGTATCATCAATTGTTGCAGCCGCCAACCAAACGACATCATCGCCAGTGCCAGCGTCATCATCGCCATCCGCAAATGTTATCATCCATGGCAATCAGAGCCACGGCAACGTAGGTGCGGGTGTGGGCGGCCACCATGACCATCACCACCATCATCACAGTAGTTTAGTACACAGCAATATCATTAGCTCGGCAAGCAATAGTAGCAGTAGCAGCAGCAACAGCAGTAGTGGTAGCCTAATTATTGGTCATGGCAGTGCGGGGAGTGGCGGTAACATTGCCGGTGGCGGTAGCAGTAACAGCAGCACAAGCAGCAACAGCAGTGGTTATGGCAGCACATCGGCCACACCGACCAACAGTTATGAAAGTCACGGCACTCCGACAACACCGGTCGCCATTGCGGAACCCATAATACCCGTTGCTACGGTGGCCACAGTAACGCCGTTTTACAGTGAAGCTATAAACCATCAGGCGAACAACACGCAAAATTATTCCGCTCAACACCAGCAACAACAACAACCACAATATCAGTTAAATTCCGCCTCTCAGCATCTGGGCCAGCCAGCAGTGCCACAACATTCCCAAACGAATTTTTCAAACCACCAGCAACACCAGTCATTGCAACAACATCAGCTGCAGCCACAATTACAACATTCCCAAAGATCCCAGTCCTACTCCTATCCGACGGTCTATGACTATAATCAGCAATATCAACAGGACAGCTCTCTGCTGACGCAGCAGCAACAGATCCACCCAGGAACTGCAGCAACGGCTTATGGTTTGGGCGCCAGTAGTACTAGTAGTTCGGGTAACTTTGATCCCACCTTGCAATCGAATAGCCTCACACCTTATCAACAGTCTATGGGTCATAGTTATAAGTCGGTAGGTCCCACAGCCATTCCCTATGAACGTCAGCGATCCTCATCGGGTCATTTGGGAAGTTATCAAAATGACACGACAGCCAACAAACACAGTCAACCATTTGGATCTACATCCGCCTCAGCTGCCTCCAATGCCTCGACCTCCTCTGGCTCCAACAATTTGTCCGCATCAAAATCTCGTTCATCTACATCACTACTGGGTTCAATGTCGTCCTCATCCTCATCATCTGGCAATCCCACCTCCTCGGTGGCCACAACTAAACCCCAGGCGGCAGCCACACCCTTCTATGCCCAACCCTTGGCCCAGGCCCAAACGGCCAGTGCCAGCTCCTATTATGCCGAGTTGCAAAAGCACAAAATGCCTCTAGACTATCATCATGATCAGTTTGGCAATTTTCCCAATGCCTCGGCCGCCGCCTATCATCAGCAACAGAAGTACTATGCCGCAGCAAAATCTCAACTAAAGGAGACGGGGAGTTATGGTTCCACGCCGGCTAAATCTCTGTACCACAATGCGAATAGTTTTTATGGCGGTTCAATGGCTCAACATGGTGCATCTTCTATGCTGGCGCCCAATGCAGGGTATATTTATCCCTCAACGGCATATCCAACGGCTTTAGGCTACGAATCCTCATCTCTGGATGCGGTTTATCGAAAGTCCAGTGCCACGGCTCCTACGCTCAATTCGTCAACATGGCACTGGGGTATGGATTATGCGGCGGGAGGAAATAGCCGGACAACCGCAGCAGTGGCAGGTGGAACGGCACCTCCACCCACGGCGGCTGGCCACTTGCCCACAGCCACTGTGGCACCCACACATGCCAGTTATTTGGCGCCGGCCAACACCAGCCACAGGGATCCCTACTATATGACAGCCGATAAATATGCCATGAAATATGACAAATATCCCGCTGCCGCTCCACCTCCGCCCTATCAACAAAATGCCTATGTCAGTTCGCCGGCAACGAGACATCATCACCATTTGTGGCCCGGAGGTGGCCATAACCCAACTGCCGCTGGGCCACCACCACCCCATTCTCATGTTCCTCATGCCGGCATGCATGGCAGTGTGAATCCCTACTACAGCACAAATCCTGCCGCAGCGGCACGGCAACCCTGTTGTCCCCAGCCGCCTTATCAAACACAAAACTGTTACTATCCTCCGACGGCGGCAGTACCACCACCACCACCCACAGGAAGGATAACCCATGGCCAACCAATGGGGAATTTATCTCAACTAACAGCTGCCTATCCCAACCAGCAGTCGCACATGAATCAGCCTGCCTCCAAATATCCGGCAAGTGGTTTAGACTATCCTCCCTTAAGTGTTAATAAACTGAAAACTCCAAATGATCTCTATCTGGGTACACATCACTACGATGCCGCAACTGCCAATCCGTCGACTCATACACACCTAAGTCACCATCGGCATCCGACGGGCTATCAATATGGTGCTGCGGTGCCCCCGGTGCCGGGAAATCAACAACTCTACACCAGCAACCCCCAGCCCCACCATCCAGCTCATGGACAACAACCGGCGGTTCCGTTAATTGCTCATGATCCCCATGGCTCAGGCTATACGAATGATCTCACCACCTCCTACGATAGTTACCTGCATGAACCAATCTCCAACTCCAACTCGGCCGCCATGGGTCTTGGAGGAGCGGCCGCCGAAATGGCAGCCACAAATTATGCCGTGTCAACGGCCAAACGTGCCTTATTGGATTATCGAAAACCCGTGACGCAAACGCCTCCAGGTGATTATTATCGCCCAGAGCAAACGGGACACAGAGAAAATGCTCATCCAAACTATGGCGGAGCCAGTCATCACCATTCAACGGGAGATTTGCTGTTGAACAGCTCCGAAACAACAACTAGCTTTAATGAATATGATTCGACGGCGGCATATGGCCATGAGGCTGCCGCCGATAATCAATCCAAACCAGCCTCAGATGATTCTACCAAAAATTTAAGCCTACGTGACTTCATTGCCAATTGGAATGATGATGAGGATGATTATGCGACGGGTAATGAAGAACTTATGGCCTTTGATCAACAACAAGGATCCGGGGTGATCAATGAGATGTTGCAAAATGTCAATGTTGAGAGCTCTCATGACGACACGACCAACTTGCTTCAGGAGAAACCCCTTAAGGCAGCGGAGGTTCCCCAGTCCTCCGTCAGCACATTACCCGAGGATATGTATGCCCAGCAATATGCCAACTTGCCAGATATTATTGTGGACATAGAAAAGTCCTCAAATGTAAATACTTTTGGACCAATAGCCGATGTTCAAGTGGCGCCCAACGTCAGTGATATGGAAAAATCCACTTTAAATAATTTAACCACAGCAACAGGGGCTCAAGTGGCACCCAACGAAAGCGCCAACCCCACCGCATTGAGTTTGGATAATTTTGATGTGGAAAAGGAACTGGATCAGCTGCAGCAATTGCAGCGCAAAACTGGTGAGGATTCGGTAATTGTGAAACCCAGCCAACACAACAACGTGGTTGTGCCTGGGGAAACCCCCAAAAGCGACATAACTCCGCCCGAGGAAAATCCCCAACTAACATTTGAGGATTTAAATTTGGAAAATGCCAAAACAAACAACGTCCCTCCGGCGTCATCAGCAACACGTCCATCTGCCACCTCCGTATCCAACGATGCCGAAGGTTATGACAGTGGCTGCAGTCGCCATTCCAATGAATCCTCACTATTCGAAAAGGAATACGAGACCTTTATCAATAAAATCTCCACCAGCTGTGAAAATCTCAGCAAAGCCGACAAAGATATTGAACAAAAAGTCCAAGACTTTTCGAAGTTCTATAAACGTAAACGGAAAATGCGCGATGAGAATTCCAAGAAACCCACGGAAGATCTGGCCATGCAGGATAATAAAAAATCCCGCAATGAAGCTCCGAACTCACCGAAAGAATCAAATTTTCCCCAGGTCTACACAAAAAAATCACGCAACAGAACCTCGAGTAATGCCTCGAATAAAATGGCGCCCAAGCGTAGGAGGAAACCCTCATCATTCTACTACAAAGCCATGCAAAATATACGCCGTTATCCGCAGCATCGTTGCCAGATGGTAAGGGATTATATGGCCGATTTAAAGGAAAAACATTTGCCGCTGATCAAGAGGCAATCCATTAAAAACTATTCCATGCAAGCAAGTCCGGAGGCGGGGGATGAAGAGCTTAGACCTCTCCCTCTGAAAACTTTGGTATTGGGAGTTATCAACTCCGAAGATTTTCGGGAACGTTTTGTGATCAGCACCATGGAAATGGAAGAAGAAGAGATGGAAGAGGATTGCACGGCCTCGGAAGAGAAACATATTTGCCCTGATCCCAGCTGTGAAACTTGTGAGGTTATACGTAGCCTCATGGAATCCCAGGAGGTGGATGCTGCCGCTGCAGCTGCCATCGGGGATGTAAATAATTTTCAAACGGATGTTGTAAAATTATCCGATGAGGAAATTAAAAATTTGGCAAGTACCGAAGAGATTATTGTGGCCAAGGAAGTGGAAGATTTGTCCGAGGGCAAGGTGGTATTGATACCAGAACTTCCCGGAGAAGTTAGTGATGTAACGAAGCCGGAAGAGGAAACCATGATCGCCGAAGAACAACTGGCCGCACAAATTTTGGAACAGGAACTGGCCCAGAAGGATTTTCGGGAGAATCTGAGTTCCTCAACGGGAGGAGTAATACGTAAAGCAGATCTCACCACCGTGACTTTAACGGAAAGTTGTTCCAACGTAATCCAATCCACAAAGCCGGATGTGGAAACATTCAATCCTAGTTTTCAAGCAATTGATTCCATCTCCGCTCAACCAAAGATACCAAATTCGGAGGAAGATAAGCCCACCCTCACAAATGAAATAACCAGGGAAATCCCACAACAGGAAGACCTAATTCCCATCAATTCTGCAAGTGAACATCCCGCTCCCAAAGATATGTTTCCGGAACAAAGGAATCCCGTCATAAAAATTGTGAACAGCTACCCAAATAAAGAGGAATCACCCGCACAACTTATGGTTCAGCCGGCCAACTCTGAACCCCGAGAAGAACCAGACCAACCCTCACCCAAACCCATTGATTCACCCCGGGCAACCAGTGTGATAAGGAAAATTGAAACAAAGCCCTCCGATCACGATTTTGAGGTAAAGAAAAAGTGCTACGATCGTCCAGATTTAGATGCAGCAAGTCCACAAGCCTTGCAGACCACAGTCATACGAAAAGCCAAAGGTAAATCCCAACAAAGTGAGGAGAACTCCAACTCTCCTAAACCCCAAACATCATCCGACGAAAAATCCCAAAAAGTCAAAGAAAAGTCCGCAAAAAATCCTCCCATAATTCTAAGGATAAAGGCACAGACCACCACGGTTATACGCAAACATGTCACCGCCAATCCAGAGGGGAGCGAACCCAAGGAATCGGCAAGTTCGTACATCAACAAAACTTTTACCGTATCCAAAGTTTCGCCCAACAAATCCGATTCGGAAGAGTCAAGTGATTCGGAATCAGACACAAGTAATTCATCCTCTTCCAGTTCGGAAAATTCCGATGAGGAAAGAGATGAAAGTCATAGCTCAAGTGCCAGCGATTCGGATACGGATGCTGAGCCCGAGAATGAGACACTGAAGACTCTACGCAAGGTTGTGGAAAAATGCGAGAAACTTTCCAAAATCCATGAAACGCAAAAGATGAAAACGGAAACAGGCGATATATATAAAACCAAAGGAATGCTAAAAGAATTTAATCCAACACCGGCCGATCTCAATGAAGATTCGAAATTTAGCGAAGAATCTGATGTTCGAGAAGTGGTGGCTTCAAGTCCAAAGTTGGAAAATCCAGAAATACCTCAAGACAAATTCATTTCTAGTACACTAGCTACACCAAAGAGCCCAACGCCCGCCAGAAGTTCCCGAGCAAGTGAGGAAAGGGAGCTGCAAATGCGCAGCAATGAGGATGAGGATCAATTGTCCAGATCATCGGTACTAGCCACGTCGTTGGTTCCTGAAACAGATCTCGTCCATGCTAAATGTGAGGATAATTTGGTGGAGAATGAGGAGGCACCTTTGGATCTATCAAGGCAACTATCTCCCCTACAAACCCCTGTGGAAGACTGCCATCATAGTCCCAATTATAATGCCAGGGAATCGAAAGAGCCATTGGATTTTCAGGCTCATGTGAGTTCCGAAGAAAGCGGTTTGGAAAATATTAAACCCCAGAGTCGAGAGCAGATCATCGAACCTGCTTCTACGCTCAACAACATTGAAGAAAAGCGGGACGCTGCTTGCAAATCTCCGGTTGTAATAAGTGTTAACGAAAGTTATCTAGGGAGCCCTCAAGGTAATGATGAAAATTCTGCTGTATTGTCCCCAAGCGGGAGTAAGAGCCAAGCTGGTCTTAACTTTGATGATCCTCTCACCAAAAATTCCGATCCATCTGTTGTACCGTTGGATATCCCATGCGATGAATCTGCAACCGAAAATCAAGTTCAACAATTTCAAAATGAAGGTGTCTTTATCGATGAAACAATCGCCAAACATCCGGATCTATCCATCCTACCTTTAGATATCACAGTCGATGGATCAATCACCAAAAATCAGGATCAAACACCTCAAAGTTCCCTTGTTCCTGTCTCAACAACAAACAGCTCTTCAATGGATAACCCTGAAAGCGCTGATAGTTCCTGCAATCCAGAGAAGCAAGAGATCATAGAACTTTCAGAAGACTCATCATCTTCAGAAGAGTCAGACGGCGAAGAAGATCTAAATGTTCGAAACAATCAGGGATCCAGAGATAAGTTCTCCCGTACCGCATCTGAAGTAGTAAATTCCGAAAACATTGTGGACATAACCGCCGACAGTACATCCGACGAAGATTTAGAATCCGAAGACGATGTGATTTCCAAACCAATTACTCCCGTTAAATTGAGAGATTTGTCAGATAACGAATCACGGCCATCCAGCGTCGATGACGCCAATGAACCTCTGTTTGGTAATGAAGATGAATCCCAATTTAATTTGGTGGCCAAGACGCCAGAAATTCCAGTAGAAGCTTTGGATGAATCGCTTAAAATCTCCTTGGGCCTACTGCTAAAAGAAGTTGAGAATTGTGACAGTCTGAAAGAAACGATTCCCGGATCAATCGACGCCAAAGAAAATCAGAAGACTCAAGGTGCCGAAATGGATCTTCAAACAGGAAATGACAATGAATCTCAAACTCCAACTTCTTGTGAGAACTTAGGGTCTATCTCCAAGATAAGTATCCCATTAAATCCTTTGGAGCACCATAATTTGGAACTACAAAGCTCAGATAAAACCTTGGCACATATCATGGAACCCTGCTCAAAATCTGGTTCCGAAGTTAGCCTCGTTCATTCCAACTTGGAAGATGCCGCACATTCACCTACTGCTGACAGTTCTGTGTTGAAGGGTTCAGTTATAGCAGATCTGGGGGATCTGTTTTCCAAAGACATTAGACCAAACGTCCAGGAAGTTAAATGTTCCACAGGAAATCAAAATTGTGAGAAAGGCTCAACATTAGCGGAAAAATCAAGAGAATATAGTCTTCTGGGGGAAATCTTAGAGCCCGACACAAAGAAAACTTCGGTGTTCGCGCATGAGTGCCAAGAAGAAACTTCCACGGGAAATCGTGATCAAAGCGAAATATCAACCATAACCGACCAAATAAGAGAGAATTTCCTTTTTGGCGAAGCTCTAAAGCCAACCTCGAACAAGACTTCAGAATTTCAAAATGAAGACTTTACGGCTTCATGCGACAAACATCCAAAGAATTCTCTTGAGACCAATGAGATACAAAAAAATACGCCGGAGAGAATTGAAAGCCCCATTCCGGAACTGGAACCGAGAGAGGAACAACAACAAACTCCTGGAACTATCAGAAGTCCCACTCCAGAAATAGAAAACCATGTTGATCTCAGCAATGATTCATCGACATCTTCTGAGTCGACAGATTCCATCAACCAACTACCATCGATTCCACAGTCAGAGAATTGTGTCGAGATCGACAGAGAACAACAAAAGACATCAGAGAGAATTGCAAGTCCCACTACGGAACTGGAAGTGACAGAGGAACAACAAAAAACTCCAAAGAGTATCGCCAGTCCCACTTCAGAAATGGAAGCGATAGAGGAACAACAACAAACTCCTGAGAGCATCAGAAATCCCACTTCAGAAATGGAAAGCCATGTTGATCTTAGCATGGATTCAATGGCATCTTCTGAGTCGCCAGAATCCATCAACCAACTACCATCGATTCCACAGTTGGAGAATTGTGTCGCGATCGATAGAGAACAACAGGAGACATCAGAAAGAATTTGGAGTCCCATTCTGGAACTGAAAACGACAGAGGACCAACAAAAAACTCCAGAGAGAATCGATAGTCCCACTTCAGAAATGGAGAGGCATGTCGAACTTAGCAATGATTTAACGACATCTTCGGAGTCAATGGACTCCATCAACAAATTATCATCGATTCAACAACCCGAAAATTGTATTGAGATCGGTAAAGAACCACAGGAAACATCGGAAAGGATTAGGAGTCCCCTTCCGGAACTGGAAATGGCACAGGAACAACAAAAAACTCCAGAGAGTCTCGCTAGTCCCACTTCAGAATTGGAGAGACACGTCGAACTTAGCAATGATTCAACGACATCTTCAGAGTCAATGGACCCCATCAACGAAATATCGTCGATTTCACAACCAATGGATTCGATTAAGACCAATGACAAAGTTCCGGAGGGAACTGAGAATCTCATCCCAGATCTAGAAATAAGGGAAGAACAACAAAAATCTCTGAAAGCCATCCGGAGCCCCACTCCAGTACCGCAAAGTCAAGCAGATCTAAGCGATGATTCAACGACTTCTTCCGAGTCATCGGACGCAAGTCGCTCTGACGATGAACTGGAAACCATGGATCTACATAAGAGAGTTGATCCGACCGGTAATGATTTGGATAGACAGAGTTTCCAGGGACTATTAGAAAATAGAGAAACAGATGCAGTTTCCCCAGTAACCCCAAAAAGGGAAAGCAATGTCGAAGATGATACTGTCTCAGATCACGACAATGAAAAATTGGATTCATATTCGAACTTAATACCCAATTCGGATGACATTTCCTCACCAAGGCTAGAAGGAAGCAAAATCTCAGACAATGAAAGTGACACTTCATCTCAAAGTTCTTCCGATTCATCGTCAAGCGATGCTTCGTCTCCGAAAAGAGTGCTTGAAGAGAATACTGTCCTGGATCATGAAAGCGACAGTTCGTCTCAATCTTCAGATTCATCTTCTGATTCGGAGAGCACGTTGTCACCCAAGGGAAAGACCGAAGAAGATGCCCCAGACAAATTGAATATTGAACCCAAGAGTGATGCTCTTGACTTGCCGAAATGTTGCGAAAGCTCTCAGGAAGAAGATTGTGTTAGTGTCGCCAAAATTGGGATAAATGGTCCAAAATTCTCAACTCAAGCTGATGAAGTTGTATCAGAGTTTTCAAAATCTTCCTCGACCTCGGTGGATGTGGATGCTGAAATTAGCCACAGAAAAATAAGTAATAATGTTGATGACGATCTCTCAGTTCCGGATGAAAGAGAAAACGTTCCGACATGTTCTAATCCTTCCACACCTCAATCTGTAACCCTACTCGAAAAGGAAAGGACTAATTCCATTATTGAAAGCACGGCCGAGGAAATATTGGGGCAAGAAAATCTCAGTGCTGATCTCAAACAAGAAATGTTACAGGATATCGCAGTGGAACCACAAACGAAATCGGAGCAAATTTCTCCTGAAATTGATGCCTTGAAGTCCCTGCAGGAGCCGCTCGAAAACGAGAATATAGAGAAGCCAATATATTCAGTGGATTTTGATGGAGAAGTTGATACCGATAAATCAACCGCGGAGCCTGGGGAAGTCGTGAATACGGAAACAAATTCACTGAACCTTGATCCAGAAGTCGAAACTGAAATCAGTGGCATTGTTGAAAGTTCCGACGATCCCAAAATTGTATTAGATATTCAGTTTGACACGTGCACAGTATCAAATTCAAAAGAGGACTCTCCAAACAATGATGAATTTGAACCTCAAGATTCCCAGAAAGAGGTATTCTCAATCCAAGATGCAAGCCTTTCTCAGTCAGCCTTCTTAGATGACTCTACTTCGACTACTAAAATTGAAGTTATGGAAACAGCGGCTTCCCAAATTCCAGCAGCAAGTTTCACAAAGTATGAATCCCAAGAGAGAGCTATTAATGACTCTCCTTGCACAGCCATAGATTTTGTTGAGAATTGTAATGACGTTTTCATTTCCTCAACTTCTGCCAATTGCGATGAAGGGAAATCCTTGGACATCGAAAGTAATTCGTCTCAGGAGTCGAAAGAAGTTCTTCTCACGAAAGAATCATTATCGCAGGAAACCCGTCAGCAAGAAACAAAGGATAAGTTTGGGAAGGATAATCTTCCAACTCAAGAAGAAGGTTCTACGGGTGACTCTCCAAAAACAACAGAAGAAATTTATTCTCCGAGTCAAATTCAAGAGGATTCAGAAGAAATACAGACAGAAAAACAGCCAGACGAGGTTGTCGCTTCCAGTGCGGGATCGTCAGAGTTTATTGAAGAAACAACGGAGTCAGAACTTAAAGTCCAACCTGAACTCCCAAAGATTCCTAACGAGGCAACGGAGAAAGAAGTGGAAAGCAATGCTGAGTTGACAGAGAAACTTGCAGAAGCAATCCAAACAGAAGATAGTACTTTTGAAGAATTCCCACAGTCTTCGGAAAGACCAAAGGATTCAGAGGTTCAGAAAGAAATAATAATTGCTGAGGAACCAAGAGAAACCGAAGTTTCCGAGCTGGCTGAAGAACCCAGCGACTCAGAAGTTAATATCAATCAGGAAATCTCAGAGTCTGTTGAAGGACATATAACGTCGGAAGAGTTTTTCACCAACAAAGACAATTTGACCGAGTTGGAGGAAACAGTGAGTCCCAAGGCAATCGCAAAAGTTACTGGTGGCCTTGAAGATCCACAACTGTCTCCACCCAAGGAGAAAGCAGCAGATAAGGATCCAATGAGTCTCAAAGAAATCTCGAATATAACACATGGTGTTGAAGATCCACAAAAGTCCCTACACGACGAAAGGGAGGTCATTTCGTCTACAGATCTTGAAGTTCCCAATACTGTCTCAGTTTCCGATCATCTGCCAGAAACTGAAGAGAGCAAAATTGAAGAGAACATTGCTAAATCCAGCCCAAATGTCACCGAGACAATCCTTAAAAAATCACCCTTGCCACTGCGCAGTCGTGAGACAAGTCCTGAAATGAACTTCTGGAATACCAAAGGAAAATATCGTGCCTTAAGAAATAAACGAACTAATATTTCGAAATGCAATAATGAATCTAAGCGATCCTCGAGTAGAAAGAAGAGTAGCAAAGCTAACTTATCCCAATCCACCACAGACGAGTCAAGTGAGGACCAAGATTTCATTCTGGAGTCCCAGGAAAAAGTTGCAATAGCTTTGGAGGTCACTGAATCGCTGAACTCTTCTGTAAATCAAAGTGAGGTCATTGAATCCCAAGAAATTTCGGAGAAGAAGAAAATTTTAGTAGGCATTTCAGCAGATCAAAGCAAGAGCTTGGAATCAGAGAAGTTCGCAGAAAGCGTCGATTTGCCCAAAGAAGTCCCACTTACTGCCGATCAATTTGAAATTGATTTGGATGATATTCCCTTGCCGCCACCAAGGTCTGAAGAAATTAAAAGGCCGGAGATCGACAACCCAAGGCAAGATGTTGCAACCAAATACCATAGTATCAGAAAACGGGATTCATCTCCCATAGAATCCGCCAAAACACTGTCTGCAGACATTTCAAAGAGTGTGAACACCCCTAACGACAGTAGCCCAGCTGGAGCTTACACTGATGCAGAGATTTCCAGCAATTCCCCAGATGAGACAACAGAAAATGATGAAGAAATCGCCATGGTTTTATCTCCCAAGGAAACCTCAAGAACCTTATCTGAAGATATATCAAGCAGTGAGAATACCCCTAATGAAAGTATCACAGCTGATGAATCCAACAATGATAAATGTTTCAACAGTACAACAAAAGCAGCAACTGAAAGTTATGGAGAGACTGTCTTAACTTCGCATCACCGTCGTACTTCATCTCCCAAAGAGCCTCGAAAATCTTTATATGACGATTTATCAAGCAGTGTGAATACCCCTATTGGAGCAAACCCAGCTGATGCATCCAAAGACGCAGAAGGTCCCATTAGTTCCACAGATGCCGTCGTTGAAATAGACGGAGGAGAGATCGCCATAAGGTCTGGTAGTCAGGAAACTTCCTCACAGAGCGAAGCTCCAAAATCGCTGTATAAACACATATCGAATAATGTGAACACCCCTAGTGCTACTTGCCCAGCGGATGAACCTTATGATGTATCAAATAGTGTGAATCCTGCAAATGAAAGTAGCCCGGCTGTTGAAACTCATGGCATTAAGTGTTCCAGCATTTTTGGCGATGCCAACAGCCACGATGGGATTGACCTTGTTCCCAATCAAGATATATCAGGTCGTGAGAATACCCCTAATGAAAGAAGCCCAGCCGCCGAAATATCCCTTGAACATTCCAACATTTCAGCTGACATAGCAGCTGATGGTGACAATGAAATCGCCAGGATCTCATCACCCAATGAACGACCCAAAACTCCCTCTGCAGATATATCGTGCAATGTAAATACCCCTAATGAAATTGCCACAACCGATGATGACTTCTTGTCTTGCAAATTTCAAACAAGTTTTGATGATGGCTCCGATTTTAATGGATTCGAAGATCCCCACGAGGAAGAGCTGCTGCGTCGTGAAGTTGAAAATCTCAATGAAGATTCTGCAGCCAATGATGGCTTCCAATATGCCATAAGCCATTTAGCTGTCAACAAATCCCCAAGCAAATCATCCGAAATCGATGAGCTCGAGGCCTTGGAAAAAGAACTTTCCCAACAATGTTTAGCTCAAGAACGAGACGAGAGCAAAACGGAAGTTGATCTCGACCTAGTGGACCGGCAAGGAAACAACGAGACTGAACCTCAACGGGTAAGCTTAACGAATGTTAGCATATCAACAAATGATATTGAACATATCAAAAAGATGTTAGAAAGTGACGAAGAACCAGCCAATGAGGAAAACGAAAATGCAAGCGATGATGACACCCCCCAGAAGAATGCCTCCGGTCTAGAATGTAAGGAAAATATTAGCTCAACTAATCTATGTGTAATACCAAAGTTAAGTGACCTTTGTAGGGCTGCCTTAAATAGTTCCTTGAATATAAAAAATCTTACCATTGTACAAAGTAATGCTAATGCTAATGATGAGGATTTAGAAGTAGTAGTTGCCACGGAAATGCAAACCATGGGCTTGGAAAGTAGTAATGCCACTCCACAAAATTTGCTTGTGGAGCGTGAGCTAAGTGTGGAAGAGGCCCTGGCGGAAATGTATCGCCAAGCTGGGGTTTTGCTTTCCGATCCTGAGGATAATGAAAGTGATAAGGCATCAATAACCCACAACAACAATACCACCACCAACACCACAACTGCAGTGGCGCCCAATCAAGATTTGCTTTTGATAAATTTACATGAAATCCTAAATAGCAGTGATAATGATGTCTATGTCTTACAGTGTGATATAAGTGACAACAGTAACAACAACAACAACCCCACCACCAACCAAGTTAGCGAAAATAATGCCACACCAGCCAATTCCGATGAAAATCAAGAAATCATCTTGCCCACAGAAAGATTTAATACCCTCCAATTGATTGGCATTGTCAATCGGGATAATGAAGGCTCTGAAATCCATATTATTAGTTCCGATTCCGAAAGTGAGGTTATAATTTTAAGTGATTGTGATACGGATGTAGAATTCCAACCACCACAGCCGCCACCCAAATGTTTCTCCCCACGACCGCCACATCGTGAATACATACCCTTCATCACCGACTACGAGGATCAGTCGAGTGATAGCATGTCCGATCTATCGACCATACATCATGAAGAAATCGTACCTGATAACCTGAATAAATTTCTGCAGGAGGAATTTTTCAAATATCTCCACGAGAAATATGCTCAAAAGAAACTCTCGCGATATTATCATGCCAATCGCGTGCTGAAGAAGTACAAAAAGACTAGGCTACTGAATAAATATAGGTCGTAGGCAGATTTTAGAAATGTTAAATTATTGGCCATGTAGTTTCTTTCCGATGTCTTACGGCCGGAATTCCTCTGTCAATAAAAATTCTCCCTTTTGTTGTTAAATGGCAGTATTTTAGGTCTCGAATCTTTTAGATTTATTTTGCCACTGGAACTAGAAATTTTTTTCTTTTGTTTAAAAATTGGTCTTTGAATAATTTTCCTAACTATTACAAAAATCTTTGCTCAGCCACAAAGGAATGTTTCCTATTTAAAAATTTGACTCTGGGCGATTGAGGCAATTCTTTCTACAGAATATATCAAGGCTTAAGAAAAAAGTCGTTTTGAAAAGACAACAGAAAATGATGAAGAAATCGCCATTGGTTTTATCCCCCAAGGAATCTTCAAAAATTCTATCTGACGGTATATCCAGTACTGAGAATACCCTGTGTGATCACTTTCAAAGTCGATTTATGCGTCCGTCTTCCCGTCCGTTCCCTCGTCCGTCCGTCTGTCCATGCATTGTTGTGAACAAAATTCAGGTCGCATTTATTATCTGATTGAGATGGAATTTTCAAAACAATATTTGTATCACAGCTAATGAAACCAAATATGATAAATGTACAACAAATGCAGCAACTGGAACTTGCGGGAAAACAGTCTTGGCTTTATCTCCCAACGAAGCTCCAAAATCTTTATCTGAAAAATTTTTTAAACAGTGAGAATACCCCCATGGGAGCAAACCCAGCTGACGCATCCAAAGACGTAGAAAGTCCCATTACTTCCACAGATGCCGTCGTTGAAAATGACGGAGGAGAGATCGTCATAAGGTCTGGTGGTCAGGAAACTTCCTCACAATTTTTTCTACAGAATACATCAGAGCTTAAGGAAAACGTCGGTTTGGAAAGACTGAAGTAATTCCTTCCAGTATAGAATTAGTAAATTTCTTAGTATACAATCTGCTGAGATACCATTTGAGGCCTCATTTCCGAAAACCCTAAATACGTAAATTGAGAAAATGTATTTTTATCAAAATTTGAAACTTCTCTTACATCTTAACAAAATCTCTGAGACATAATCTCCAAAGAATCCCAAATTCATTCTCTTAAAATATATCGATCAGTGAGAACATCCCTAAAGTTTGGTATCTCCTTATAAATCCCTAAGTCATTGCCGTATTTGGAAAATATATTAATTCGTGAGAAGACCCCTAATGCGGCCATTGACGCCGACTTTAAAGTTGAACGTTTGCTCTCACGATCAACGAGCAAATGTTCTCTTCGCCAAAACTGGATCATAAGGCATATACAACCGTGCAAACACCCTAATGCTACTATTATATCATTATTTGAAGTTGGTCACTTAAGCGTGGAAAACGACCTGTCACGTGTCTTTGACAGTAATAGATTTGTCAGGACTTCGTCTCACAAAACATAGAAAATCTTCTCTGTGAATATATCATACAATGAGAACTAACCTAATAAAATAGTACAGCTAACGCAAACAGGCTATAATGTTCATAACAGAAAATGAAAACAAGATTCTCAGCCCTTCGTCTGCCTATGAACCTTCAAAAGCATCCTCTTAATGTATATCGAACCCTGTGAGACCCCCTAAGGAATGCAGTCTAACCGATGTAACTTGCGAATTGATGTTTTTCTTTGGAAAAATAATCTCCAGCTCAGACGAAAGAACTAATTGTTTGAATAGAAGAAAAACGGGACGCATAGCTAAGGTTTTTGTTTCCAGCGAATGAGGATTTAGAGAAAAATTGGTCCTTAGCGAAAGAGGATTTTTCTTTTCTACAAAAAAAATTATACTTAGCGAACGAGGATTTTTTTATAGAAAAAATTGGCCCTCAGCGAATGAGGATTTTTTTTGGCCCTCATTGACAATTTTTTTTTGTAAAGCGCTAAGGACGGATTTTTAAAAAGAAACAACTCCTGGGTTGGATTTTTTTAATAAAAAAAATCTTCTGTCGCCGGCGATCAGCCATATGGTAAGAGAGGGTATGTCTCATTTGATACGGTCAAAACGTGCATAGTCGAAATGACGGTTTTAGGCCTTAGGTCTCTTTGGACCAAATCCGTTTTAGAACATTTGGAGTCGATCTAGCGATCCGTCCGTCCGTCTGTCGGTCGGCTGTCTGGTGCGCACAATAACTCTCGAAGGTAGTATCCGATTTGATCCAAACTTGGTACATCGTAATATTTTTGCCAAACATAGATCGAGTTTGGAGATGGGCAATATCGATCCACTTCATATAGTACCTCCCCCACAAAGGGTCAAAATTTTGAATAATTACAACTCTTATAAAACGTTATGTAAGAGTCCGATTGTCTTCAAATTTCACACATATCAATATTTATATAACCCCAAGATCTGGTGTTAAGATGGAATATATCGGTCCACTCCTTCTGGTACCTCCCCCTAAATTTTGAGTATCCATTGAGCTCATAAAACGCGAAATTAACATCGGATTCCAATTAGAAGTTTCTATCAACACAGGATCTGTTAAAAAGGGTGCAGAACGGACCATTCCTCCTGCTACCTCCACCACAAAGGTGGAGGTAGTTTTGAATAACCCAAACGTTGATAGAATCCGAAATAAGCATTAGGTTCTCTTTATATTTCACACATCCCATTATTTCCACTAACAAAAGTTCCGTTGTGAAAATGGGGTATATCGGTCCACTCCTTCTGGTACCTCCCCCACAATGGCTCAAAATTTTGAATATCCATGAAGCTCATAAAAAGCGAAATTGACATCCGATTCTATTCAAGACTTGGTACATCCGAAAATTTCCATTAGCACAACACAGTCCAAACCTAGCACGATTTATATCATATTTATTTAGGTCCGATACGAAATGGCCAATTCCTTCGGAACCAACTGAATTAGGGGTTAAACATTTGAATAAGCATAACAGAAGTAAAAATATTTTTAAAAAATCGAACATTGGCTGAGGGTATACATCTGTCGGCAAAACTGACAGATACTTTTTAACTTGTTTCAATATAGATCTGTAGTCCCTTAGAGGTTTTTTTTTTTTTTTCTATTTATAAAAATCTCAGTCCTAATTCCTGGAAAATGTGTTTTCCCTTTTATTGGAAATGACCTTTCCTGGGGTCATATTTTTCTTTAATTTTTTTTTAAATTCCGCATTTAATTATAATTTTTCGAATAAAAATTTAAATATCACAGCCTCTGAGAGGAGATATGACAATAAAACAAATTTCATGGGCAATGGTGGCATGTTTTTGCAACTGGCGTTGTTGTTGGCATTTAATATTAATTACATTTTGTAAAACATGACATTTGATGTTAAATTGTTTTTTTTTTTTTTTTGTTCACATTTTGTTGTAGTGTTTCCCTCTTTTTTTGATGTCTAGTAAATCATATGTAAATGTAGTTACTATTTTTGTTGTTGTTGTTATTGAAATAGTAGTTTTAAATGCAAAAAAAACGGAAGAAATGTTGTTATTTTTTTAAATGGTTTCTGAACACGAGACACGAGATTTACTCACAGTTAATAGGTGGTAATTTGTTTTGCAAACCCTTTCACCCTCTAACGCCACCACCACCTCCTAAACTTTCACCTCGTATTCTTCTTTCTTTCCTCTCTCTCTCTCTCTCTCTCTGCTAGCCCGGCTATTTGGTCATTAGTTTTTTACTAGACATGATTTTTATTATTAATAATGTACAATAAGTAAGAAAACAATAACAAATAATTTTAGCACATGTGTTTTTTTTTTTTGTATATTTCAAAATCCATTTCTCTAGATTTTATTAATTATTCAATGTTGTTCTTAGTCATAGTTATTAATTATTTTCTTTTGTTTTAAATTTTAATATGTATTTGTACACACGGTTGAAAATGTAAATTTAAGCGAAAAAAATAAATAAATTTATATATCTATTTTTTTGTAATAATAAAAAAACAGAAACACAGAAAGAAAATCTCAACAGCAACATATTTTTAATAGTCTAAATATTATTTATTATTGTGTAAGTAATTGTAGTGAAAAAAAAGAAAATAATAATAAATACCAAACACCCAAAGTGCATTAAAAAATATACACACAAATATGTTTTTTCGTTTTTTTATATATATATAAGAAAATTTCGAAATTTTGTCATAAGCATAAGTAATATCAATGTTTTTTGTAGACCAAATCCGACCTTGAATAAAAATATTAAATTTTGGATAATCATAACTTAAATATATAACTCAAAAACAAGTAAAAAAACATTAAGTTCGGCCGGGCCAAACTTTTAATACCCTCCACCTTAGGGTAAAATAAACATTAGAAGAAATGTGGCAAAAACCATTAAAATGCCGATTATGGGGAGGTACCGTAATATGGGGGCTACACCAAAACGTGGGCCTATAATTACAATGTTTCGCCACACGAACTAGGACCCATTATGGCCCACAAATACCAATTTTTAGACAAATCAGTGAAAAGATGTGGCAAAAACCATCAAAATACCGAATATCGGGAGGTACCTTTATATGGGGGCTATATCAAATAATGGACCCATGCATGCAATGTTTCGCCACCGAAGCTGGAACCAATTATGACCAACAAATACCAAATTTCAGACAAATCCGTGAAAAAAATGTGGCAAAAATCATCAAATTACCGAATATCGGGAGGTCCCGTTATATGGGGGCTATACCAAAACGTGGACCTATAATTACAATGTTTCGCCACACGAACTAGGACCCATTATGACCCACAAATACCAATTTTTAGGCAAATCAGTGAAAAAATGTGGCAAAAACCATCAAAATACCGAATATCGGGAGGTACCGTTATATAAGGGCTATACCAAATCATGTACCCATACATGCAATGTTTCGCCACCGGAGCTGGAACCCATTATGACCAACAAATTCCGATTTTCAGACAAATCCGTGAAAAAATGTTGCAAAAATCATCAAATTACTGAATATCTGGAGGTACCGTTATATGGGGGCTATACCAAATTTTGGACCCATACATGCAATGTTTTGCCACACGCTCAGGGACCTGCTATGACCTACAAATACCAATTTTAAGACAAATCCGTGAAAAAACGTGGCATAAATCATCAAAATACCGAATATCGGGAGGTACCGTTATATGGGGACTATACCAGAACGTGGACCGATATATCTCATTTTCAATACCAACCATCCTAGACACAATGCAAATAGCTCTGCTAAATTTTGGAGCTCTACGTCAAATAATGTGGGCTGTATCGTGATTTCAACAGACAGACAGACGGACAGACAGACAGACGGACAGACAGACGGACATCGTTAAATCGACTTAGAATTTTATGCTGATTATGAATATATATACTTTATGGGGTCTAAGACGAATATTCAAGGATGTTACAAACGGAATGACAAAGTTAATATACCCTCCTTTCCAAGGTGGAGGGTATAAAAAAAATAGAGATGATGAAGGTCCAAATTTCAAATAAAGACAAATCGAATATTAACACAAATATACAAAGAATATTTAGAATTCGAATATCACTAACAATCTTGAATGCTCCAAACCGTACTTTTATCGAGTTAAGTGTTGGACACTAGTAGCGAAAAAGAAATAGAAACGCAGTAAGTTCGACCGGACCGAGCTTTGAATACCCTTCAGAATTTAAATGAATTTGGAAATTTTCAAAAAAATCCGTTACAAATTCTGTTTAAATCTTAAAAAATACCGAATATAACCTTACATTGAATACCCCACCATTTGAATGAATTTGGAAATTTTCAAAAAAATAATACTCGTTAAAAATTCTGTTAAAATCTTAAAAAAACCGAATATATTTTGGTCTATACGAAGACCCGGACCTGCATATGCAACTTTTGTCCATTAAGCCATTACAATATTCAAATACGAAAATTGAAAACATCCGGTGAATAATGCAGCTTTAAGCATCAAAATACGGTATGTAGAGAGGTACCGTCACAGGCTGTAGTACCTAGAACTTCAAATACGAAATTTCAAACAATTTCGGTGAATATTGCGCCTAAAATTGTCAAAATACCGAATATAAGGAGGTACTGATATATGGGGCCTATACGAAGACCATAGACAATTTTCTGGCATAGACAAATCCTAAATACGAAATTTGAAATAGCTCCGGAGTATAATGTCCTTAAAATTATCAAAATACCAAATATTGCGAGGTACCGTTATATGGCGGCTATACCAAGACCTAGACCTGCATAGACAATTTTCTGTCACAGGCTGTAGGAACTATTAGGAACTTCAAATACGAAATTTCAAAAAAATTCAAATTTCAATTTCGGCGAATATTGTGCCTAAAATCGTCAAAATACCGAATATAGGGAGTTACTGATATATGGGGCAGACCTGGAACTGCATAGACAATTACAAGTGTTTACCACTTGACGTTTACAAGTTGCAATTCAAAACTCAGCTGACTGGCTGGCCGGCCTGTTTCTCACTCGCATTTATAGCTCCTAATCTATGCATGAATGTTTTGAGAATCTTCTTCCATTTTACAAGTCTTTCCTAACCGACGTTTCCGATCGTTCGATATTCAAAACACAGTGACTGGCCGGAATCCTACTCACTCGTATTTATAGCTTCTAATCTATACATGGTTTTTTCGAGAATCTTAACCCAAGGAATTTCATAATATTCCAATGAAATACAACTCCGTCCATTCGTCAATGTGCATACACACATATACAAAGGAGCACTGTTTGTAAACAACAAAGTGGACAATAATTATAAATACGAGTGAGTGAGTGAGTGAGTGAGTGAGTGAGAGAGAACTATTGATGGTGTCGCAATTATAACTTTGAGGCTAAGACTGATCTATAAAAAAATAGACGTGATATACCCTTCATTTATGTGTGAAGAATGGTTCAGAAAAATATATATAGACTGGAAAACGAAAAATGGTTGAATAAAATTGGAATTTGACCTAAAAATAGCACAGGAAGATAGGTAAGTGGTATGCCACATGTCCAACCACTCATAAATGAACCGACTTCCGAGAAAACATTTTGATCTTCTCAATTAAAAGAAAAAAATAAATGGGATTTGTTAAATTGGTAAAATCCGAATTCTGTATATGAGTTTCAGAAATTGCTACGCCAAACAGTTTATTTTTGTTTGCTCTGTGGCGATAACAAACCAATTGCCCGTAGGAACACTGTTGAATTTTAGTTCCACTTCTCTCCATCCTTGGTAATTTATTTCTTGGACGATAATTTTGGAGATTTCTTTGGCAGTAATGTTTTCTAGACAAACTGGGACTAACAATTCATCCCACAGTCTCTTGAAATCGATATAGATTGACAAATTATTTTATGTCCAGTTCTGATATTTTTGGCGAAAACATTGGGTTATAATGTACGGGTTTCATCGCGTCAGGTTTAGGTAAAGGCCCACATATAAAGGTATTAAATAATTTTCGGTATTTTAAAAATTTCAACCAAATTTCGAACCGAAAGAACTGAACTTGACTTTAGGATATATAAAAGAGTAATGAAATAACTGACGGAAAGAGAAACGATTTCCAGACGAAACGTCTAAAGCTACAATATTGAAATTTGGCACGGGGATCAGTCTTGTTGTGTTGTCTAAAATTTGCTAAAAATTATATTGGAAAAACGGAAAAATATCTGAAATTTTAAATAAGGAACACTGAAAGGTTGCAGGATAGTTCTACCAAATAGTTTTAAAAAATACGAACTTTAAGGTTAAGGAAAAGTTTTAAAATGGTACTAAACTTCTAAAGAGGTATCATTTGGTATTATGTGAACGGATACAACTAGAAACTTGAAAATTTAGTATGACAATCAGTGTTGGAAAGAAAGTTTGATATTTGAAATTGGTTTTGGAAATGTGTACCAAGTGTGCGAACTGTGCTACATGGTACTGAATTTGGAAAATTTTAGTATAGGGTGAACATATGAAGCTGGAATTTCGAAATTTTGTATTATGGGATCTTTGTTGGCGGTAGGTTTGTAATACAGAGGTGATTTTTTGAAATGTGTGCTACAAGTGCACGAAAAAGTACTAAATAGGTCTACATTTGCTACAAATTGGTGTTAGGTTAAGATATAGTGTTTGAAAAATGAAATTTGGTAAAGAGTTGCTGTTCATGTGTAGCCTTGACATATGGGGGTGGTTTCGGAAAGTTGTACAAAAAGTACTAAATAGTACTATATTTGGTATTGGGTGAAAGGATAGAGATAAAATTTTGAAATTTCATATTTAGATTACAGATGGTATCTGTGTTTGAGATTTGGCGGTGGCTTGGCAATGCGTCATATATTCGTACGAAAAGTACTAAATGGTACTAAATTTGGTATTGGCTGAAGGGATGCAGCTGCAATCCCGAGATTTCATATTAAGGTGTCTGTTAATATCTGAGATTGAAATATGGGAACGTTGAAATAATTTTAGACAGAAAAGCTGGATATGGGTCCATTGGGTAATGTTTTTACTCATATCCCCCTCGGTAAATATCAAAATGAAAAGTTGGAATACTTTTTGCTGTAAAAGTTTAATATTTTCCCTTTTATTTTTTTCGTAAAAGAAAAATCTTGAATAATATATAAAACCTTGAAGGTCTGAAATTTAGTACGATATATGAAGTTTTGATTAAAAAAACTGAACAATTTGTGCATTTTGAGTACTAAACATTTTAAGACGTATCTTTCCCTGACGAAATAGCGGGCACTTGTAGGTACTTTACAATTTCGGTATTTCTATAGGTTGAATACATGCCTGGCCTAAGGTTTTTGAATTATTACATACTGCTAATAGTATTTTATAGGTCCTATTTTTCATCTGATTGGAATTGTAATCTTTTTATTTTGAGTTCGGAACGAGAAGATGCCTATCTATATCATGAACATTTTGAGAACTGTTAGAGTTTCTATAGGTTTTGAAGCTATAACTTCCATGACGAAAGGTAATTCTTCTTTTTTAGCCGTTTATATTTCGTAAAAACTATTTCACATTTTTAAAAATTTGTCGACAAAAATTCAAAATTTTTATCCTGCGTGAGGTTTGGAGGATTTATTTTTTTTTTCATAAAAAACAAAAATAGTACATTCAAGATATTCATACAATATTCCAAATTTTACACAAAAAAAAAAAAACAGGTAAAAGCGCTTAAATAAAAAAAAAACGTTTTTCAATATTTTTAGCTCAATTTATATTAAATATAGATCTAAATAGAACTAGTTGTTAAGAATATGTGTAAAACTATATTTATACAAGTACAACAAACACACAGCTTTTTCTTGTCGTTAACATTAGTAATAAATAAATAAAAACAGTAATATACACTAAAAATAAATATATATAACAAATAGTATACCTACATATTTTGTAAACATTCCAAAGGACCAATACAAGCATAATCAATAAATGTTGTTTTTTTTTTTTAATAAAAATAAATAAATTTTGAAAAATAAAATAAAAATATGAAAAATAAATAAATGAATAAATCATTTTTATAAATTTTCTTATTATAATAATTTTAAATTTTTTAATAAAAAATAATATCTAAAACAAAGTATGATCTGAATAGAAAATATGTTTTTATTTTTTTTTAGCTCAATAGTTATATAATTTTTTAAGATGTACACAATAAGTTGAATATATTAAAAACATTTAGGAATTAAAACACGCTTTTGGTTGTCTTTAATAAATTATTAATAAAAAATAATTTTCGAATTGACTGATATTCAAAGTTCTCTTAAATAAAAAATATAAATTAATAAAGCATATTTCGTTAAAAACTAATTTAAAAAAAAATAATTATTAAAGCTTAAAAAATATTTTTAGTTAAAAATAAAAAAAAATACACGTTTAAGTGTTTTTTCGGCTTTTCTCTCATTGTACAAGAAGAAGCAACATCAAAACTAAAGACAAACATTTAATCAAAAATAAATTTAAGAAAATAAAAAAAATAACAAAAAATATATACAAACATATATAACAAAAATTTAAAAATAAAAATAAAAAATACATTTTTTTGTTATTTAAATCAATTTGCCTTTACGAATATTTGAAAATTTATACACATAAAAATAATTGTTATTAAATTCTAGTTCATTTTTATAGAGCAAATTTTATGGATTGAAAAAATATAGTTGTAGTCGTAATTATACTAATTTTAATTTAGAAAAAATAAATCCATAAAAGCTTAACAACACAATATTTATATATGTATACCATAATTTTTCAAAACAAAATTTTTAGATGTGTGTAAAAGTGCATTTTTTGTGTCAAACAACATTTGTTTTTTTTAACAAAAAAAAATAATAATAATATTTATATGCATATAAGTAATTTGTTTATTTGTTTTTATTTAAGAAAAAAAGGATGAAGAAAAAAAGGAAAAAGACAGAAAAAAAACAATAAATGTGTCAATGTTTTAGAAAATTTAAAGTGTGTTTTATTGGGTTTTGAACAGAGAAGGTGACTTTAATTTAGGAAGTCAATTCTTAAAATTTATTTTCAGAAAAAGTCAATGATTGTAAAATATTTTCCTCTTTAAAATCCACAATTATTATTATATATATATTTTTTTTTTTCAAAACATCCACAATTTTTAAATTCTTCATAAAATATAAAAAATAACCCACTATTTTCAGAAGTTTGAAAAAAAATTAAAAACATCCTCAATACTTTTCATGAAAAATATCCAAGATTTTTAAAAATTTATTTAAATCTGAACTTTGAAAGGTTTTTTGGGGATTCGAATTTTTTTTACATAAAATCTATAAAAACTCACGATTGTTAATTTCTATAATTTTCAAATATGTTTCCAAAACAATCGATGATTTTCAAAAATTTTCGTTATACAGTCTACGTTTTTCTCTAAAAAAATCCGGGATTTTAAAATCTATATATAAAAGAGTAGTGAAATAACCAAGGCACATATTTGCTCATTTTCACTCGGAAACGAATCTTGCTCGGAGAGTGGGAATTTTTATAAGGAGTCTACTCTTCACTCTTTTGCTTTGTTTTGTTTGCTTTGTTTGAAAAATATGAGTGGGAGGAAAATAAAAAAAATGCTTTTAGAGTGAAAATGAGTGAATTATATTTAGTTATCTGATTTGTGTGGAAGCGGCGTGAGAGCGGGGAGAGAGGGAGTGATCTAGTACATAGATATGACGGTATGACAAAAACTAAAAGAGTGCTCGGCAAGAGTAGAACATGCTCGATCTTTAATGAATTTTGCTCTCATTCAAGAACAAGAAAAATATGCTCACGGCATCGAAAAAAATCAATTTGCTCGATTTTTCTTTTTTGCTCCCACTGCGTTTGATATTGATTTTCACTCTTTGTACAAATTTGAGCAAATTTTTCGGAGGTCTGGAAAAAACTGAAAAGATGCGAAAAGTACTAAAAATTAAATACTTTGTATTGGACAAACGGAATGAGCTAGAATTCTGAAGTTTGAAATGAGAGTCACTGATGGAATGCAGGATACGTTTAGCAAAGAATTTTGGAAACTCGAACATAAAGGTTTCGAAAAGTTCTAAAAAGGGCCGAAAATTCTATAATGGTACCATTTGTTATTATGTGAACGGATAGGCTTAAACAATGAAATTTGGTATGACAAGCAAGGTTGGAAAGTTGGTTGAGATGAAAAAACTGCAACCAACTTCAGGCTGCTGTCATTTCTAAACCACTCGTCCGACAGCTGTTAAAATTATTCCAGTGACAGCTTATTATATTGTTTACAAGCGTACAAAAGCATATTTGTGATGGATTCAAGCGTGATAGAGTGATTTTTTAATTTTTGGTTGGAAACCAGAAGTGGCTATCGTTAGAGCACTCCAGAATTTAACTGTTAATAAATCTTTTGTGTCTCGTACCATCGCTCGTTACCATGATACTGGTAGCGTAGCCCGAAGTCAAGGAAAGGGGACGGAAGAAAACAGCAACATCAGCAGAAATGGTTCGAAACGTAAAGAAGCGACTTGATCGAAACCCGCGTCGCAGTGGCCGAAAAATGGCTCATGAGGTGAACATATCGCAATATTCCATTCGGCAAATATAGAAAAATGCGCTCGGAGTAAGACCATTGAAATTCCAAAAAGTGTAAAAACTTACACTGCAACTGAAAGAAACTAGACTCAAAAGAGTTGCTTCGCTTGGCCGAAAGTGGTGAACTGCCGAATTTGGTTTTCTCCGATGAGAAAACATTCGTTGTCCAGCAGATTGTAAACAAACAAACTGATCGTGTTTACTCTCCAAAGATGTCAGCTGAAAATGTGTGCCATCGGTTGGCCACCAGAATTAAAGCGCTGCCTATGGTGATGGTGTGGGCCGCGCCATAACAGCCGATGGTCGCTCTCCGCTCGTAGTAATCGACCATGGCATCAGAATAAATGCCGAATATTATCGCGAAAATATTCTGGAGATGGTCGCTCTCCGCTCGTATTAATCGACCGTGGCATCAGAATAAATGCCGAATATTATCAGGAAAATATTTTAGAGGTTGTATTAAACCTCCACAAGCATTTTGGCCGCAGACCTTGGACATTCCAGTAGAATGGTTAAAAAATGAGGTTCCTCGCTTCATTTCCAGCGCACAATGGCCGCCAAAAAATCTCCGGATACCAATCCGTTGAACTATTGTATGTGGAGTATTTTGGAAAGCAAGGTTGGCACTAAAAAATAGCAAAGTGTCGATCGATCACCTCAAGCAAGCGCTTCGCCGGGAATGGACCAAAATACCGACGAGCTACATTCGGGCAGCGTGTGACGGTTTCATTGGCCGTTTGAAGGCCATAATTCGTGCCAAAGGTGACCGATGCTATTTCCAACATTTTTTGCTTTCATTCAATAAAATTAAAAAAAAAAAAATTAAAAATTAAGGCGTTTGATTTTGTTGCAGTTTTTTTTTAACTCACCCTGTATACCCTCTCTAGCCATATGGCTGAGGGTATAAAAATATGTGTAAAGCATGTATGAAATTTCCTACAATTATATCTGAAAAAACCCAAACTTAGAACTAGAAATCTTTCCAAATAGTTTTCAAAAATTCACAATATTAACGCCATTTTCAAATATTCCCCAAAACCCATTTACTAACAATACGTAATAAAAACTCAATTTATTTTGAAATGGTAAGAAATTCAAATACTTTATTCTTGGTTTTTTTATTTTTATTATTTTTGTTTTTAATTACAAATGTTTCGTTTTCATTCTTAAATAATTACAATAAAATTAAATTAATTGTTGTTAATTTTTGGGTTTCTTTGGTTGCTTTGTTGTCTTTAAGTTTATTTTCTTATTATTTTATTTTAGGTTTAAGGAAATAAAGCGTAGTTTTTTTTTTCGAAAGAAAATAATTAATAATTTTCTAACCTATAAATATGCTAACAATATTTTATGCAATAAAGGAATGATAAAAAAAAAACAAACAAACAAATTGTGTTCCGACTATAATCGGCAAAAAATTGTAATAAGTTTATTAAATAATTGACTAAAACATATACATAACTGTTAGTGTTGTTGTTTTTGTTGTTCTTGGTTTCGTTATTTTTGTTTAAATGTATGTATATAAATATACTTAAAAATACTTAGATCGAATGAGAATTATTTTGTGGGTGTGGTGTAAGTTTGAGTGTGGGCGAGTGAGTGATTGAGTGGTACAGTGGTCATCGTTTTGTTGGTTTTGTTGTTTGTTTCTTTCTTTCTTGGTTACATACAATGCAATAATAATAGTAATAATAATAATGTTAATATTAATGATCATCTTTGGTATTTGTTGTTGTTGTTGTTATTTTTTGTCGTTTATGTCTTATGTAATGCGAGTGTGCGATTTTTTTGGATTTCTGCATCATTCCATGGAATGGACAGTGGTTGGAAAATAGAATATATTTTATTTTTTGTAGAAGAGCTGAAAGGGAAGATGTAGGGAGTTTGTATAGAGAAGAAGGAGGGAGTTTATATTGTCAAATAAAAGGAATTATTTCTCTCTAGTGATAAGTTGAAGAAGTTTTTATGGGTAAGCTGAAGAGGGAGTTTTTATAAACGAACTGAAGGTATTCGGCATTTAGGGACGAATTGCAGATGAAGTCTTTATATCGAAGACGACCCAAAGCGTTTTTAATACCCTCCACCATACATAGTGTGGAGGGTGTAGTAAGTTCGTCAATCTGTTTGTATCTCATCGAAATAATAATTTTAGACATCAGCGTAAAATTCTTTTGTCCGTCTGTCCGTCACGCTAGAGTCAAAACGAATAAAGATAGGAAGCTAAAATTTTACACACATCAATCTTTTGTCTGCAGGCAGGTCAAGTTGGAAGATGAGCTATATCGATTCACGATATTGTATAACCCCATATATATCGGTGCCCCTCTGATATTCGGTACTTTCAATGATTTTAGCCAAAATTTTCAATGAAATTTTCTGAAAATCCCCAAAGGAGTTCCTCCTGAGTACTTTAGCCCCTGGAAGAGCACTGTCCAAGATATCATATATACCCCATATAACGGTAGCTCCCTATATTCGATATTTTGACGATTTTAGGGACATTATTGACCCGAGTTGTTTTAAATTTCGTATTTAGAATTCGTAATAGGTACTAAAGCCTATGAAAAAAATTGTCTATCCAGGCCCACCTCTTCGTATAGCCTCCATACAACGGTACCTCCCAATATTTGGTATTTTGATCATTTTAGCAACATTATTCACCTGAGTTGTTTCAAATTTCATATATAGAGTTTGTAATGAGAACTAAGTTCTATAACAGAAAATTATCTGTGCAGGCCCAGTCTTCGTCTAAGCCCCATATATCAGTGCCTCCCTATATTCAGTATTTTCATGATTTTAGGTACAATATTCACCGAAATTGTTTGAAATTTCGTATTTGAAGTTCCTAATAGGTACTACAGCCTGTGACAAAAAATTGTCTATGTAGGTCCAGGTCTTCGCATAGTCCCGATATAACGGTACCACCCTATATTTGGTATTTTGATGATTTGAGCTACATTATGCACCGGATTTCTTTTTCAAGTTTCGTATTTGAATATTACAATAGCTTATAACAAAATTTGCCTATGCAAGTCCACCTCTTAGTATAGACCCCATTTTATGGGCTTTATTCGGTATTTTTTAAGATTCTAACAGATTTTTTTTTGAAAATTTCCAAATTTATTCCAATTGGTGGAGGGTATTCAAAGTTCTGCCCGGACGAACTTACTGTTTTTTACTTGTTTATAGCTGAGTTAAGGGCAGCATACTTCATGAAAAAACTAACCGGAATATCTTTAATAGATTAACAAAGTACAGTGTTTTTTGAGTAAAGTCCAAAATCGTCCTGTCAGTTTTTCAAAAATATTCTTTAAAATCATTTTTTGAAAAAATCATTGTTGGTTCGTAGAAAATATTAAAAAAATCCATCATAGCTTTTCTAACAAAAATCTTAAAATATATAGAAAACCCACTTTAGTCCCTTAGGAAATATTCGTAAAAAAATCTATAATTACTCTCCATAATAATTGTCCTACACACATTCCACATTATTTTGTAAACAAATTAAAGTTAATCCTTTAGAAAATAGTTTTCAAAAATTCAAAAATTTCCTATCCAAAAAGTAGCAATAGTCTTTCTTTTTTTTTTTTTGTCTACTAAAGTTCTTCTTAAAATGATCTGAATAGTTCTTTAAAAACAAGTTGTTAATAATCCAAGACAATTCTTTTTCCAAAAATCCACAATAGTCATTCAGAAAAAATAGCTTAAAAATCCCTAAGGTCCTTCTGTACATACTCTTAAGAAAATTTACGAAAGTCCTATGCAATTGACTATTGTCCTTCGAAAAATACTCTAAAGACAATTTACGAAAGTCATTCAGAAAATATTAAAAAAAAAAAAAATACACATCCTTCAGGAAATATATATAACCAGTAAAGAAAGTCTTAAAGTCGGGCGGGGCCGATTTTATGATACCCTACACCACTTTGCTAACTTAGTTGAGCTCCACTTAATAATTAAAAGTTTTTATGGGAGAATTCAATCGTACACGCTATGATTATAATTATAATTTAAAATTCAAAGGACTAAATATGCCGAAGCATTTGTATCTTTTAAATTCGGACTTGTATTGCCCATTTGGTGCACAATTAATTTGAAATCGGATAAAAATATATATGGGAACTATATCCAAATCTGAACCGATCTCGATAAAATTTGGCAAAGATATTTCTGAGCTGTATTTAATATATTTCCCTGAATATCGTTGTTACGGAGTGCATATTACGGCTGTGGGTAACAAATACAATAAATCGGATGAACAATATATATGGGAGCTATAATTATATCTGAACCGATCTTCACCAAATTTGGCATACTACCTTCTAGACTAAATTCGGTCGTATGTGCCAAATTCCATCCCATTTGGACAAATATTAGACGTTTGGTGCACAATAAACTGTAAATCGGACGAAGTTATATATGGGAGCTATATCCAAATCTGAACCGATCTCGATAAAAGTTACCAAAGGTATTTCTGAGCTGCATTTGATATATTTCCCCAAAATATTGTTGTTACAGAGTGCATATTACGGCTGCGGAGGACAAAAATAACAAATCGGATGAACAATATATATGGGAGCTATAGCTATGTCTGAACCGATTTCGATAAAATTTGGCATACTTATTTTCAGGCATAATTTGGTTGTATGTGCAAAATTCCATACTATTCGGGCTGATATTACACGTTTGGTGCACAATAAAAGGCAAATCGGACGAAGATATATATGGGAGCAATATCTAAATTTTTACCGATTATCTCCAATTTCAATAGGGTTCGTCATTGGGCCAAACAAATGTTGTTTGCAAAATTTCATCTCAATCGGATAATAAATGCGACCTGCATTTTGTTCACAAGAATACATGGACAGACGGACGGACGGACGGACAGACGGACTGACATGCATAAATCAACTCAGAAAGTGATTCTATGCAGATCATCAAAAGGAACTATGGGTCTATCTCGTTTCCTTTTGCCTGTTACAAACAAATGCACAAAAACATAATACCCTGACCACCTTGTGGTGTAGGGTATAAAAAGTACATGAGAGTCTTAAGAAAGCCTACTATAGTCCTTCAGAAAATATACTTAAATATCCACAATAATCCTTGTTTAAGAATCTAAAACCAAAATCGTTCGAAAAATGTGAAAATTATTTAGAAATATTTTTAAAAACTCAATATAGTCCTTCAAAATTATCCACGGAAGTCCTTTGGAAAATTAATTTTAAATATCCGAAATAGTTATTCTCGATAGTCCACAAATTCTCTTTGATGTTTCGAATATTATTAAAAAAATCCATTATTATTCCTTATTTGTTTTCTAATCCAGGGATGATCCTTGAAAAAAAAATTGTTAAAAAATCCACGACTATGTCCTTGGCAGTTTTGAAAAAATATTGCTTAAAAATTCACAAATATGTTCTTGAAGGTCCTTGGAATTTTTTTTAAACTCACGATTATGTCCTTGAAAGTCCGTGAAAAACAACTAAAAAACACAATTATGTCCTTAGAAAAATATACTTGGAAAGTCCACGATTTTAATTTTGACATTAAGGGTCCCCAAAAATACATATTTTTTAAAAATCCACAATTGTGACATTAAAAGTCCTAAGAAAATATTTTTGAAAAAAATTCACGATTATTATGCTCTAAAAATTCAGGATTATTATGCTCTACAAATAATTTTCGTAGAAGATTAGAAAAAGTCCATTACAATCCCCAATTACAGTCACCGATATTGACTATCTTAGTTCAATAATTTTTATTAAAAATCCTCGATTATGGTCTTTAAGGTCTTTCCCAAACTTTCATCAAGAATGAAGTACCATTTGTTGGATGATCCTTTACAAAAATCTTCTCCTACAAATGCCCTTATACTCAGATAATTCCTGAAAAATATTGAACAAATATTTTTTTTAAAAATTCGCGTTCTTAAGGATACAATATTTTGGTCCTGAAAATCCTTAAAACTGTCACCGATTAGTAATCAGATATTCTTAAAAGACCTTTGCCAAGAAAGACCTTAAATGACAAAAATTGTAGGTTTTTAATGGTTCCCTACATCAACGATTATTGATCTGATAGTCCTGGCAATAATATCTGTAAAAACTATAATTTTACTCCAAAAAGTCCTTCAAAACATATATTTAAGAAATCATCGATGATTACAAAGTTTGTCGTTCAAAAATAATTGTTAAATAATTGTCAATATTGCCCCTCAAAAAAATCCCCACAAAATTGAGAAAATTTCCTTAAAAACTTGACGATTCCAAGAATATATGTAAACATCCACGATTATGCTCCTTCGAAAATGTTTTTGAAAGGCTCTGAAAGTCCTTGGAAAAAATCCTTTTAATACCCACTATTCTTTCACTGAAAGTCCTTAACATATTGTAAACAAATCTACTATCATAGACCAGATGGTACTTTAGGAGGATAATAAGTAGAGTCCTTTTAAATAATGGTAGCCTTTTCTGGCGAACTAAAGTTGGCCTAAGGGAGTATTTTTTTTTAGAGCGGCAGAGGGCCGAAAACATATTTTATTTAAATTCCAAAGGAACTTTCTCTTAATTTTTCTGCTTTCCAACCACTGTGCCATGCCGTGACAATGTTATGACAAAATTTGAGGCGAGGCGCAAGAAAATTAAAAACGATATCCTTTTTAATATGAATTCCTAAAAGAAAAGAGTTTTTCCTTTTTTCTCTACCGATTTGCGAGTATTTTGTTTTCATAAGAAAATGACGAATAAAATGATTATTATGTTATCTCTTACTCTCTTTCTTCGTTTCACTCTCTTTCTTTCATTGCAAGGATTAGTTTCGCTTATCCTAATATCAGCAATTCTAATAATTCTGTTCCATTGCGGGACACATTAGGGGGTGTACTGTTTCCTCATCCTCATCCTCGTCCTCCTCCTTATTCGTATTTCTCAAAAAAGCGTTTCTTTAAATCCGGCGGATAGGTTACATAGATATAATGCTCATTGTGTCCAACTTCATTTTGGATGATTTCGTGCGTTGACGAGGATGCTCTCAGGGATTGCTGCGAACCGCTGACATAACGCTGTCTCGGCTCTAGGGGTCGTGGAATGGTGTTGTAGTGCTTGACACCGCCACCGCTGCTGCTGCTGCCCAAATGGGTGGCTGGCAATGTATTATCACAGTCTAGCTGCGCCTGCGAATGATGACTGAGACTGGAGAGGGCTCCCGAGGAGCCGGTGTTTGGTCCACGTGTTGATGCCAAGGTATTGTGACTGCTGACCACCGTCGTGGCTATGGGCCGACTACTTATATAGTCGCGTCGGTCTAAAATGTCCTGTTGGTAGGCCAGACTCTGGCTCGGCGCATGACGCAGTGGAGTCTGTGCGCCAACCCCGCCCGCCACGCCGATCCCCGCTGGCTGTCCGGTAGCCATCGTAATCGTAGGTGTACCCGGCCGACGCTGATCGCCGATGTAGCGTCTGGGGCTGTGACGATAGTCGTATTGCACTGGTTCGGGGTACAAATCGTGATGTCCGACCTCGACCGGGGCCTGGTGGTAGTAGTACTGATTGTGATGGTGGTGGTGCTGCTGCTGATGGCTGCTGGTGGTATTGCTGTTGTTGATGGTCTGATGCTCGGCGCTGGCGCTCATACCAGGATGGTGATGGATCCCGGTAGTAGGGTACTCTTGAAAATGATAATGATCGGGCATTTGGGATGCCGAAGGATGCTGCGACTGGTGGCTGGCGGGTATATACATATGCTGGCGATGCTGTGGATGCAGCAGATGGGCCGGCTGCTGGAACTGCTGCTGCAGCAGATGTTCTTGCTCTGTGGGATGGTAGAGCTGATGTTGATGATGAAGATGATTGGCGTCTGTTGTGTTGTTGTTGGCGGCATTGATTGTCGTCTCTTCGGAGCTGTAACAAAAAACTTGGGTTTTATCCAAAAATTTCTTTAATCGTAGGGCTTAAGACATGTGAATATTTCAATTTTGACTGCCATCGCAGGCTCTTAATCAACTTACTCAAACAGTATCCAAATGATGTAGTAACAAAAACAAATGCCCGAGGATAAAACGAAAATCAGGATTACAATTAAACCCCAAGGAAAGGCACGTGGCTCCAGTGGACCATCTTCCCAGTAGCGATCGCAGGTCAGATACCAGCAGACGGCTTTGTTCATTTCCTCTGGAAGGAGAAAGGGAGAAATTAATATTTTATCAGTGGAAATGGGAATAAAAAATCAGCCTGCAAATCCAAGATATTCGACTCGTAAGTCCTTAAAAATATATTAAAACAAAAAACTGAATTTATGAGTTAAAATTTCCTTTATTGAAAACTTGGGAAAGTCCACGAAAATTAGAAGATCTGCGGAAGGTCTTTTGACTACAGAATAACTTATGGAATGTTTTAAAAGAGCTGTGTAAGGTTTAATTTTTTTCTTGCCTTAGAAGTCCTTGAAAAAAAATTCTTTAAAAATTCCAGGTTTCTAGCCTTGGAAGTCCTTAAAAGGGTCCACATTTCTGCTTTTCTTTAAAAAATCCACGTTTCATGGTCTGATGGCCCTTGACAAAAATTCTTTAAAAAATCCACGTTTCATGGTCTGATGGCCCTTGACAAAAATTCTTTAAAAATTCCAGGTTTCTAGCCTTGGAAGTCCTTAAAAGGGTCCACATTTCTGCTTTTCTTTAAAAAATCCACGTTTCATGGTCTGATGGCCCTTGACAAAAATTCTTTAAAAAATCCACGTTTCATGGTCTGATGGCCCTTGACAAAAATTCTTTAAAAAATCCACGTTTCATGGTCTGATGGCCCTTGACAAAAATTCTTTAAAAAATCCACGTTTCATGGTCTGATGGCCCTTGACAAAAATTCTTTAAAAAATCCACGTTTTATGATCTGAGGGTCCTTGGAAAAAAATCTTTAAAAAATCCACGTTTTATGATCTGAGGGTCCTTGGAAAAAAATCTTTAAAAAATCCACGTTTTATGGTCTGAGGGTCCTTGAAAAAAATTCTTTAAAAAATCCACGTTTCATGGTCTGATGGCCCTTGAAAAAAATTCTTTACAAAATCCACGTTTCATGGTCTGATGGCCCTTGAAAAAAATTCTTTAAAAAATCCACGTTTCATGGTTTGATGGTCCTTGAAAAAAATTCTTTAAAAAATCCACGTTTCATGGTCTGATGATCCTTGAAAAAAATTCTTTAAAAAATCCACGTTTCATGGTCTAATGATCCTTGAAAAAAATTCTTTAAAAAATCCACGTTTCATGGTCTGATGGTCCTTAAAAAAATTCTTTAAAAAATCCACGTTTCATGGTCTGATGGTCCTTAAAAAAATTTCTTTAAAAAAACCACGTTTCATGGTCTGATGGTCCTTGAAAAAAATTCTTTAAAAAAACAACGTTTCATGGTCTGATGGTCCTTGAAAAAAATTCTTTAAAAATCCACGTTTCATGGTGTGAGGGTGATTGAAAAAAATTCTTTAAAAATCCACGTTTCATGGTGTGAGGGTGCTTGAAAAAAATTCTTTAAAAAATCAACGTTTCATGGTCTGATGGTCCTTGAAAAAAATCTTTAAAAAATCCACGTTTCATGTTCGGGTGGTCCTTGAAAAAAACCTTTAAAAAATCCAGGTTTCATGGTCGGGTGGTCCTTGAAAAAAACCTTTAAAAAATCCAGGTTTCATGGTCGGGTGGTCCTTAAAAAATACTTTAAAAAATTCACGTTTCATGGTCTGATGGCCCTTGAAAAAAATTCTTTAAAAAATCCACGTTTCATGGTCTGATGGTCCTTGAAAAAATTCTTTAAAAAATCCACGCTTCATGGTCTGATGGCCCTTGAAAAAAATTCTTTAAAAAATCCAGGTTTCATGGTCTGATGGTCCTTGAAAAAATTCTTTAAAAAATCCACGCTTCATGGTCTGATGGTCCTTGAAAAAAATTCTTTAAAAAATTCACGCTTCATGGTCTGATGGTCCTTGAAAAAAATTCTTTAAAAAATCCACGTTTCATGGTCTGATGATCCTTGAAAAAAATTCTTTAAAAAATCCACGTTTCATGGTCTGATAATCCTTGAAAAAAATTCTTTAAAAAATCCACGTTTCATGGTCTGATGGACCTTGAAAAAAATTCTTTAAAAAATCCACGTTTCATGGTCTGATGGACCTTGCAAAAAATTCTTTAAAAAAATAAAAAATCATGGTCTGATGGTCATTGACAAAAATTCTTTAAAAAATCCACGTTTCATGGTCTGATGGTCCTTGAAAAAAATTCTTTAAAAAGTCCATGTTTCATGGTCTGATGGTCCTTGAAAAAAATCTTTAAAAAATCCACGTTTCATGTTCGGGTGGTCCTTGAAAAAAACCTTTAAAAAATCCAGGTTTCATGGTCGGGTGGTCCTTGAAAAAAACCTTTAAAAAATCCAGGTTTCATGGTCGGGTGGTCCTTAAAAAATTCTTTAAAAAATCCACGTTTCATGGTCTGATGGTCCTTGAAAAAATTCTTTAAAAAATCCACGCTTCATGGTCTGATGGCCCTTGAAAAAAATTCTTTAAAAAATCCAGGTTTCATGGTCTGATGGTCCTTGAAAAAATTCTTTAAAAAATCCACGCTTCATGGTCTGATGGTCCTTGAAAAAAATTCTTTAAAAAATTCACGCTTCATGGTCTGATGGTCCTTGAAAAAAATTCTTTAAAAAATCCACGTTTCATTGTCTGATGGACCTTGAAAAAAATTCTTTAAAAAATCCACGTTTCATGGTCTGATGGACCTTGAAAAAAATTCTTTAAAAAATCCACGTTTCATGGTCTGATGGACCTTGAAAAAAATTCTTTAAAAAAATAAAAAATCATGGTCTGATGGTCATTGACAAAAATTCTTTAAAAAATCCACGTTTCATGGTCTGATGGTCCTTAAAAAAAATTCTTTAAAAAATCCACGTTTCATGGTCTGATGGTCCTTGAAAAAAATTCTTTAAAAAATCCACGTTTCATGGTCTGATGGTCCTTGAAAAAAATTCTTTAAAAAATCCACGTTTCATGGTCTGATGGTCCTTGAAAAAAATTCTTTAAAAAATCCACGTTTCATGGTCTGATGGTCCTTGAAAAAAATTCTTTAAAAAATCCAGGTTTCATGGTCTGATGGTCCTTGAAAAAAATTCTTTAAAAAATCCACGTTTCATGGTCTGATGGTCCTTGAAAAAAATTCTTTAAAAAATCCAGGTTTCATGGTCTGATGGTCCTTGAAAAAAATTCTTTAAAAAATCCACGTTTCATGGTCTGATGGTCCTTGAAAAAAATTCTTTAAAAAATCCACGTTTCATGGTCTGATGGTCCTTGAAAAAAATTCTTTAAAAAAACCAGGTTTTATAGTCTGAGGGTCCTTGAATTTTTTTTTTAAATCCACGTTTCATGGTTTGATGGTCCTTGAAAAAAAATCTTTAAAAAATCCACGTTTCATGGTCTGATGGTCCTTGAAAAAAATTCTTTAAAAAATCCACGTTTCATGGTCTAATGGTCCTTGAAAAAAATTCTTTAAAAAATCCACGTTTCATGGTCTGATGGTCCTTGAAAAAAATTCTTTAAAAAATCCACGTTTCATGGTCTGATGGTCCTTGAAAAAAAATTCTTTAAAAAATCCAAGTTTCATGGTCTGATGGTCCTTGAAAAGTCCTTGAAGAAATATTTTTCAAAAAGTCCACGTTCATGGACTTGGAAGTCCTTGAAAAAATATCCTTTAAAAATCCACATTTCTGGCTTTGGAGGTCCTTGAAAATATTCTTCAAAAAATCCACCATTAGTGGTATGTTAGTCCTTCAGAAAAAGGAAAAATGTCTTTAAAAAGAGTCCTTCAAATTTGTTTCTAAAAATTCAGGAATTTTACATTAAATGTCCTTCAAAAAATACCTTAATGTCGTTTAAAAAACCCCTCAAATAATCACGAGTCCTTCAAATAAATTCTTATTGGACGGAAGGTCCTTTAAAAACTGTTTTTTATAAATCCGCCACTACTGGCGTAATAGTCCTTGATCCAATTTTTGCTCACCTTCCATATCCTTAAACTGCTGATCGGTCATGGACAAAATAAGGCCTCCAATGCAACTCCTCACTAAATATTCACATTTCGCCTGCAACTTATTCAGCTCTTCGGGCTTACAGTTGGCACGAATCTTTTGCATATTCGTCAGATGACCATTCGCTGTTGAGGTCCTGCTATTCTCTCCCTCTTCATCGGATGAATTTACTTTCGAGCTTTCATTATCCTTTGAGCCGTCAGCAGCCTGCGATGAATCGTAATTCATTTTCGCTCCATTTGTTGTGGTCGTCGTCGTCGAGGAGGTCGAGGAAGCGGAGGCAGCTGAGGCTGAGGAAGCAGTACTACTAGTCGTTGTAGTATACGATGAGCTGCTGCCGGTGGTGGTGGATGCGGAGCCACCACTACTACTGACGCTGCCACCAGCATTGGATCCCGATGAAAAGGATTTTTGTGATCTGGTGGACCCTGAGGCTGCTGAACTTGTACTACCACTACTGCTGCTCCCGTAGATGTGAGGTGCTGCGGATGATGATGCTGATGCTAAGCTCTCGGCTGGTGTTTGTGTGTGTGGCATATATTTTGTACGTGAGGCACCATTGTTGTTGGGGTTGTTGTTATTGTTGTTGTTGCTACTATATATATAGTTCTCATTAGAGGTTTCTGAGAAAAAAACAGAAATGGGAATATTAGTAAATATTGAAATTATCTCTTTTTTCTAACTTGTCCTACCAGTCTGTTGACATTTAGTTTGGCCAATTTTATCCTGACATAATTGACGATTTTGTACTTTGGCTGTTCGAGATGCACCAATAGAGGAAGTTCTGAAAAATTAAAGTAGAATTTTATTTTCATTTTGAAAATTTTATTTTCCAAATTTTCCTACCTGATGGGTAATAAACTTAAATACGCTACATTCGCCTTAGCCAGTGCTGAATTTTGACCAAATGAATCGCCCCAAACCTCAATTTCTGTAGCAATATTTTGATCGCCAATTTTCAACGAAGATGACTCCTCCGTTTGAAATACTTCACAACGCATTATATCGCAATAGTCTGCTAAGCATACAGCGTCTTCAGCCTGGAAGAGAAAACCAAAAAGGAATTAAATGAAAGAGCTTAGAGGTGTGTTCTCCACCCCACCTCATTTATAATTGCTTTATGTCTTGTCTCAAAATGTAAATCCAAAAATTTCTCCTGATAGAAACTTTTGCCACACAACCGGCACGTCCACTGTGTGGGCCTATCACGTTTTTTGGCATCTTGTCGGGGTGCAAATATATCACGAAATGGATGCAGTGGACACTCGAGAGGAAGTTTCACCTGCAATGTAGAAAGAAATGGGTTTAAATATTTTTTTCCAAATTTGGAAGGCCTTGTGGAGGTGTGTGCTCACCTGATATTTATCTAATATCGGGGTCCATTTTGAACGTACTATTTTCCGTACTAAACGACTGTTATCTTTGGAACACAAACGTTTGATCACATGTGTATGGGGCCATGGTATTAATAGGAAAAAGTAAATTAGAAAAATCTGAAAAGAGAATATATTTTTATTTTTCGAAAAAGGTTATCAACATTGATAGTAATTTTTGAAATTTTCGTTTTTGGCTTTGGAAGTCTTTGAAAGAAAGATCATTAAAAAGTTCACGTTTCAGGCTTAGAAAGTCCTTGGAAAAATATGCTTAAAAAGTCCACTTTCTTGTTTGGAAGTCCTTGAAAAAATCCAAGTTTCTGACCTTGGAAGTCCTTCAAAAAATATCCTTGGAAGTCCTTGAAAAAATATCCTTAATAAGTCTACTGACTTTGGAATTCCTTGAAAAAAATCCTCTGAAAAAATCCAAGTTTCTGGCCTTAAAAGTCCCTACGTTTCTAGCTCTGAAAAAATCCCACGTTTCTGGCATTGGAAGTCCTTGAAAAAAATGTATTTAAAAGTCCACGTTTCTGGCTTTGGAAGTCCTTGAAAAAATATCCTCTGAAAGAATTCACGTTTCTGCTCTTGGAACTACTTGAAAAAATATCCTTAAAAAATTAACGTTTCTGGCCTTGGAAGTCCTTAAAAAATATATCCTCTGGAAAAATCCACGTTTCTGGGCTTGAAACTCCTTGAAAAAATATCCTTAAAAATTCCACGTTTCTGGCTTTGGAAGTCCTTAAAAAATATCCTTAAAAATTCACGTTTCTGGCCTCGGAAGTCCTTGAAAAATATCCTCTGGAAAACCCACGTTTCTGGCCTTGGAAGTTCTTGAAAAAATATCCTTAAAATGTCCACGTTTCTGAAACTCCTTGAAAAAATATCCTTAAAAATCCCACCTTTCTGGCTTTGGAAGTCCTTAAAAAATATACTAAACAATTCACGTTTCTGGCCTTGGAAGTCCTTGAAAAATATCCTCTGGAAAAATCTACGTTTCTGGCCTTGGAAGCTCTTGAAACAATATCCTTAAAAAGTCCACGTTTCTGACACTGGAAGTCCTTAAAAAATATCCTTAAAAGTCCACTTTTCTGGCTTTGGATGTCCCTAAAAAATATCCTATTAAAAAAACCAGGTTTAAAAAGTCGACGTTTCTGGTCTTGGGAGTCCTTGAAGAATATCCTCTGACAAAACACACGTTTCTGGCCTTGGAAATCCTTAAAAATATTGCTTAAAAAGTCCACGTTTCCGGTCTTGAAAGTCCTTAGTAAATGTCCTTTAACAAATCCAAAAAATTCTTTTAAGGATAATCGTGGACTTTTTTAGGAATAAACTCCAAGGACCTTCCGACCATGAATCGTGGATTAAAAAAAAATTCCAGCACTCTCAGACCATGAATCGTGGATTTTTTAACGATTTTTTTCCAGGAACGTGGATTTTTAAGGAATTTTTCAAGGGTAATCAGACCATAAAACTTGAATTTTTTCATGAATTATTTTCAAGGGCCATCAGACCATGAAACGTGGATTTTTTAGAGAATTTTTTTAAGAACCATCAGACCACGAAGCTTCGTTTTTGTAAGCATTTTTTTAAGGGTCATCAGACCATTAAGGGTTTTTATTAAAGAACTGTTTTTTCAGGACCATCAGGTAATGAAAAGTGGATTTTTAAAAAAAATTTAAGGACCATCAGAACATGAAACGTGGATTTTTTAAAGAATTATTTTCAAGGACCATCAAACCATGAAACGTGGATTTTTTAAAGAATTATTTTCAAGGAAAATCAGACAAGAAAACGTGGATTTTTTAAAGATTTTTTTTAAGGAAAATCAGACAAGAAAACGTGGATTTTTTAAAGAATTATTTTCAAGGACCATCAAACCATGAAACATGGATTTTTTAAAGAATTATTTTCAAGGAAAATCAGACAAGAAAACGTGGATTTTTTAAAGAATTATTTTCAAGGACCATCAAACCATGAAACGTGGATTTTTTAAAGAATTATTTTCAAGGAAAATCAGACAAGAAAACGTGGATTTTTTAAAGAATTATTTTCAAGGACCATCAAACCATGAAACGTGGATTTTTTAAAGAATTATTTTCAAGGAAAATCAGACAAGAAAACGTGGATTTTTTAAAGAATTATTTTCAAGGAAAATCAGACAAGAAAACGTGGATTTTTTAAAGATTTTTTTTCAAGGAAAATCAGACAAGAAAACGTGGATTTTTTAAAGAATTATTTTCAAGGAAAATCAGACAAGAAAACGTGGATTTTTTAAAGTTTTTTTTTCAAGGAAAATCAGACAAGAAAACGTGGATTTTTTAAAGAATTATTTTCAAGGAAAATCAGACAAGAAAACGAGGATTTTTTAAAGTTTTTTTTTCAAGGAAAATCAGACAAGAAAACGTGGATTTTTTAAAGAATTATTTTCAAGGACCATCAAACCATGAAACGTGGATTTTTTAAAGAATTATTTTCAAGGACCATCAAACCATGAAACGTGGATTTTTTAAAGAATTATTTTCAAGGACCATCAAACCATGAAACGTGGATTTTTTAAAGAATTATTTTCAAGGACCATCAAACCATGAAACGTGGATTTTTTAAAGAATTATTTTCAAGGACCATCAAACCATGAAACGTGGATTTTTTAAAGAATTATTTTCAAAAACCATGAGACAATAAAACGTGGATTTTATTAAGAATTATTTTCAAGGACCATCAGACAATAAAACGTGGATTTTTTAAAGAATTATTTTCAAGGGCCATTAGACCATGAAACGTGGATTTTTAAAGAATTATTTTCAAGGACCATCAGACAATAAAACGTGGATTTTTTAAAGAATTATTTTCAAGGAAAATCAGACAATAAAACGTGGATTTTTTAAAGAATTATTTTCAAGGACCATCAGACAATAAAACGTGCATTTTTTAAAGAATTATTTTCAAGGACCATCAGACAATAAAACGTGGATTTTTTAAAGAATTATTTTCAAGGACCATCAGACAATAAAACGTGGATTTTTTAAAGAATTATTTTCAAGGACCATCAGACAATAAAACGTGGATTTTTTAAAGAATTATTTTCAATGAAAATCAAACAAGAAAACTTGGATTTTTTAAAGAATTTTTTTTCAAGGACCATCAGACAATAAAACGTGGGTTTTTAAAGAATTATTTTTAAGGATCATCAGATCATAAAACGTGGATTTTTAAGGAATTATTTTCAAGGATCATCAGACCATGAAACGTGGATTTTTTAAAGAATTATTCTCAAGGACCATCAAACCATGAAACGTGGATTTTTTAAAGAATTATTTTCAAGGACCATCAGACAGTAAAAACGTGGATTTTTTAAAGAAATATTTTCAAAGACCATCAGACCATGAATCGTTGATTTTTTAAAGAATTATTTTCAAGGACCATCAGATCATAAAACGTGGATTTTTTAAAGAATTATTTTCAAGGACCATCAGACCATAAAACGTGGATTTTTTAAAGATTTTTTTTCAAGGACCATCAGACCATGAAACGTGGATTTTTTAAAGAATTTTTTTCAACCACCATCAGACAATAAAACGTGGATTTTTTAAAGAATTTTTTTCAACCACCATCAGACAATAAAACGTGGATTTTTTAAAGAATTTTTTTCAACCACCATCAGACAATAAAACGTGGATTTTTTAAAGAATTTTTTTCAACCACCATCAGACAATAAAACGTGGATTTTTTAAAGAATTATTTTTAAGGGCCATTAGACCATGAAACCTGAATTGTTTAAAGAATTTTAATCAAAGACCATTAGACCATGAAACCTGATTTTTTTAAGATTTTTTTCCATTTTTTTTTCAATAATCATCAGACCCCAGACTTCAAGGACAGAGAGACCCATCATCGGACTACTAACATGGATTTTTAAAGAAATTTCCTCAATGACCATCAGATCATAGAACTTGAATTTTTTATATAATTTTAATCATAGACCATTAGACCATGAAACCTAATTTTTTTAAGATTTTCTTTCCAATTTTTTTTCAATAATCATCAGACCTCAGACTTCAAGGACAGAGAGACCCGTCATCAGACTACTAAACGTGAATTTTTTTAGAAATATTTTTTCAGACTCGATTTGAATTAAAATTTTTATGAATAATTTGAAAAGAACCCTTAGACGAATTATGATTTTATCTAGTATCAATAGGCCCGCCAATGTTGAGATTTTAAGAATAATTTTCCTAGACAATTGCAAGGAATACTTTTTTCAAGGAAAGATTTTTTAAGACTAATTTGAGAAGGACCTTCTAAGAATAGTTTTTCCGGGATAAATTAGCCCGCAAATGCGAAGTGTCTAAGAATAATTTTCCAGGACAATAATAGTGAATTTTTGAGTAATATTTTTTCAAGACCAATCGTGGATTTTTACCATCACTTAAAGAATATTAATTCAAACTTGTTTTTCAAAATATTTTCCAATTTGTTTTTGTTGATTTTTTTAAGAATATTTTTTCAGAAATTTCGGCTAATTTTCGTGGATTTTTGAAGAATATACAGGCCAATATTGGTATATATTTACAGGAATATTTTTTCAGAATTATCGGTTCAATTATCGTGGATTTTTAAAATATTTTATGATTTGTTTTTTAAATAATTTCCAGATTTTAGATTTTATAAAAATAGTTTTCCCAAAATATTTTTCCAGAAATATTCGACTAATAATCGAGGAATTCTTAAGATTGTTTTCCCATTTTCCGTGAATTTCTTAAGATTTTTTTCGACAACAATATTTTAGGATTAAAATAGATCCAGGGCTATTGGTCCTGTAGTCGTGGATTTTTTAATGCATTTTTTAGAAATTTTCCCAGAACATTATCCTGGACTACATTGACTGATTTCTAAGAATATTTTTCCAGCAGTATTGACCAAATAATCCTTTTTTCAAAATATTTAAAATAAACATGATTAAAATTGCCCTTTAAAACTTTTTACGACTCCAATTTCTTTGTGACCCCAGTGTGTATATGAATACACTCTCCCATCCATCTTCATTAAAAGTCATTTTCTGCAATCCTAAGTAGCTTTAATTTTAAAATAAAATCCCTCTGTCATTTTAACTTTTCCCAAAAAAAGGTCAAAGTTGTCAGAAAATGCATGCATGTCCATTTGTTGTTTTCAAAATGTTGACATTTGTTTTAAAACACAACCGAAAAAAATAGTTATCAAACTAATAATCCACCACCACTCCTTTACACAATACCCGGGGCAAGCAGTCCAATAACAACATATCACGGACGTCATGAATAGGTCCAACCAAAAAAAAACACAACACTTTAACGCCAAATACATCTAATTGTAACTTATTAGACCGCTTAGAAGTCGGACCAACCAGCAAACGAATGAAAAAGGCAAACGGAAATGTTCATATCCAACAAAGGGGAGAGGGGGCTGCCCAAAACGTTTTGCGACCAAATGGAAAGTGAAAAATGCCGGAAATGTCAACAAAACTAACTAATCGCAACCTTTACTTAATTGACACGAAACAACAAACACTTTCACAACAATTGCCATTCTTTCCGCTCTGTTTCGATTCCTTCCGTTTTTTTGTTTTTGCTGCCAACTTTGTAAAGGTTTTAATTTTGTTTGCTCGCCTGCTCCTTAAACGCTAAATGCACCAATGAACACTGCCAGACAGGGCTGTGACACATTTATGCAAATTCGGTTAACATGTAAAGGATGGATGGATGGATGGATGGATGAATGTGTTCTTCGAAGTGAAAAAAGCAAAGCGGCCAAGAAATGCCAAAAATTATATACCAAAGTAACGACGACGACGACGGCAGGCAAAAGGCTATACAAACCATATAAGGACGACTATATGGAAAATATGTGTCAAACACCAATTGGAAGACACGCCAACTGGCAGCCAAGCCAAAAACAAAGAGCAGAGAAGAATTTTTTCACAACCACTTTCTTTAAAGGAGGTTTTGTTGTGTCCTTTTCGTCAAAGGACATGAACTTTCATCAAAATAATAAAGAGAAGATTTGAAATACATACTGTGGCTTAAAGGGAAAATTGGAGAAATTTCCAAGTGACGGAAAAGATTTTGAGGTCCTTTCAAAAATACGCTGAAAATGAGGATAATTAACGCGAAAGTCCTTTAAAAAAATTCTTACAAATTTCCATGTCTTAGGATAATAAGTCCTCCGAACCTTTGAAACATATTCGTAAAACTCGAAATTACAAACCAAGAAGTCCTTCGAAAAATAATTTTATAAATCCCACAGATGCAGGCCCAAAAAAATTGTCTTAAAAATCCACGGCGCAAAAGCTCTTTAAAAAATATCTTAAAAAAATAAGTTTTATTGGTCTAGAACTCCTTTAAAAAATATCCTTAAAAAATACGGTTCATTGGTCAAGAAGTCCTTTTAAAAATTTCACTAAAAATCACATTCATTTTCCTAGATGTCCTTTAGAAATGTCCTTCAAAAATCCTCGTACAAAAATACAGAAGTCCTGTAAAAATTGTCTTTAAAACAATTCAAGTTTATTGGCCTAGAATTCCTTCAAGAAATTTACGAGAAGTCCTTTAAAAAATTTTTTTAAAAAACAATATTTCTGGCCTAGAAGTCCTTCAAAAATTTCCTTAAAAATCCACGTTCTCTTCATCCACGTTGTCCTTTCAAAAATGTCCTTGAAAGATCCACGTTCATTGACCTAGAAGTCTTTCAAGAAATCCACATTGATTGGCCTAGAAGTCCTTTCAAAAATTTCTTTAAAAAATCCAAGCTCATTGGCCTAGAAGTCCTTTCAAAAATGTCCTTAAAAAATCCAGGCTCATTGGCCCAGAAATCCTTTCAAAAATTTCCTTAAATAATCCACTCTCATTGACCCGGAAGTTCTTTAAAAAAATTCCTTGAAAATCCACGTTTCCTTTGTCCACGTTGTCCTTTCAAAAATGTCCTTAAAATATCCACGTTCACTAGCCTAGAAATCCTTTTCAAAATGTCCTTAAAAATCCATGTTCCCTTTATCCACGTTGTCCTTAAAAGATTCGCGTTCATTGGCCTAGAAGTTCCTTTAAAATCCAAGTTCATTGGCCTAGAAGTCCTTCAGAAAATCCACATTGATTGGCCTAGAAGTTCCTTAAAAATCCAAGTTCATTGAAAAACCACATTGATTAACCTAGAAGTCCTTTAAAAATTTCCTTTAAAAATCCACGCTTATTGGCCTAGAAGTTCTTTGAAAAACATTCTTTAAAAGTCCACGTTCATTGGCCTAGAAGTCCTTTGAAAAATATTTTTTAAAATCAACGTTTATTGGCCTGGAAATCCTTTGAAAAATATTCTTTAAAAATTCATGTTTACTGGCCTAGAAGTCCTTTAAAAATTATTCTTTAAAAGTCCACGTTCATTGGCCTAGAAGTACTTTGAAAAATATTTTTGAAAAATCCACGTTTATTGGCTTAGAAATCCTTTAAAAATTATTCTTTAAAAGTCCTAGCAGTACTTTGAAAAATATTCTTTAAAAGTCCACGTTCATTGGCCTAGAAGTACTTTGAAAAATATTTTTGAAAAATCCACGTTTATTGGCTTAGAAATCCTTTAAAAATTATTCTTTAAAAGTCCTAGCAGTACTTTGAAAAATATTCTTTAAAAGTCCACGTTCATTGGCCTAGAAGTCCTTTGAAAAATATTTTTTGAAAATCCACGTACATTGGCCTAGAAATCCTTTGAAAAATATTCTTTAAAAGTCCTAGTTTCTTAGCCTAGAAGTCATTTGAAAAATATTCTTTAAAAATCCTAGAAGTTCTTTGAAAAATATTCTTAAATATCTACGTTTATAAGTCGCGTGGTCCTTCGAAAAATAAATATCAAAAAAATATCAATTTTTTTTTGGCCGGATGGTTCTTGGAAAAATATTTTTTAAAATCCACGTTTATTGGTCTGATTGGTCGGACGGTCCTTGGAAAAATATTTTTTTAAAGTCCACGTTATTGGTGGGATGGTCCTTGGAAAAATATTTTTTTGGTGGTCCTAGGAAAATATTTTTTTAAATCCACGTTTATTGGCCTAGAAATCCATTAAAAAATATTTTTTTTTTTTTAAATCCATGATTTAGTCGGATGGTCCATGGAAAAATATTCTTTAAAAATTCATGTTAATTAGTCTTAAGGACCTATAAAAAATATTCCTAAAAATCTACTTGTATTGGTTTAAAGGACGACTAAAAACTCTCCTAAAATGAACGTCTATTAGTCCAATTGGTCCTTTAATAATATGTTTAAATATCCCCGCCTTTTGATACAATAGTCCTTCAAGTTGTTTTCATAAAAAATCCTCGTTTATTGAACTAAAGGCCCCTTCTAACCACTGTTCTGCCCCATTGATTATTGCACTAAGCCAATAATTTCATTGTGGCCACAATGGCTATCGTTGTCCTTTTCAGTGGTTGGCTGGCTGGTCGGACGTATGCTTCTGCAATCGTGGATAGCCAAACCGACATGCATGTGGCCAACACATATGAATGGTTGGCCTTAAAACGCGCAAAAGGCAATTTCCGTTTAGCTCAAAGCGTCAAATACCGCTACATTTCCATACACAAACACACATACACAACAATAACGCCAAGTTGACGTATGACGACGTCGACGGCCATTAGCACATGCACTGTTATTTTTAGGTCATTTCGGTGAGAAAACAAACAGACCCACAACAACACAATGCCGCATAAACATTTATTTTCTATGAACGAACACACACACAACATTCACTAGAGCACACACACGCACACATTCAAAGCTCCACTCAAAACAAACCTTTTTTGCCGTTAGGAACGAAGAGAATCCTGTTAGAGGCAAAAGCCTTCTGTCAGTCAGTGGTGGCAAAGGCAAGAAAAAAAGGAGTACAACAAAATGAGAGCAAACAGAGACACACGCACTCACTCACACACACATACACACTTCTCATTCCAAAAAATCGATAACATACTTTGACAGGACTTTTTGAGGAAACGAAAGGACGGGTGGATGGACGGACAACGACGACGATGATGATATAAAAAGAGCATGGAGAGGACAAAAAAACAGGAACATTTATATATAGATTTATGAAAACTGAAAAAAATGAAAATGTTGAAGATTTTCCGATAATAGCCTGGCTCATCACCAACATTTATATAATCCTTGACTCTGGGACGCACAACTCACCTCTAAATTAACAATTTTGGAACCCATACATAATACGTTGGTCTTTCCAAAAAAATGTATCCCAGAAAATCTTTGTATTGTATTTAATCAAATATTAAAATGTATTCCCGTTTCCTTGTCGATTCACTTGATTCTTTTTTAGAAAATTCGTTTCGTTTTCATTCGTTATTTCACTATAGCTTATATGATTTTTTTTCACTTTTCGTTTATAATTTCGTTTCGTAGATTTGCTTTTTATTGCTTTTGTATTTTTTTACCAAAAATTAAATTAAAATTGTGTTTTTTTATTTCTAAATTAAAGATGAATTGTTGAACACTTATGAAATAATATATGTACATGTACGTCTACACCTGTGAAAATGTCTTAACTGTCTAAGAAAATTTCTTCTTCGGATGTTCTATTGCTGCTTCTTTTTTCTTGACTATGACAGAGTCGTCCCTTTTGAGTTGACAGTAATAAAAACGGAAGAGAGAGAGAGAGAGAGAGAGAGAGAAAAAAAGCATGAGAGAGAATCATTTGCCATAACAGTATGTTCCCGCTAGCAACAGGAACTAGTTCGGCATCGGAAACTCGTCGATTCTCAGAGTTACAGTAACTAGTTCCACTTAAGACCCCTCACAGTGCAAACAACTGTAAACTTTAACATGGGGATGTCATACGAGGTAACCAATTAGCTCCCTTTGCATTACCTGTAGATGGTACTTTACTAGTTCCAGGTTTACAGTCATATACCAGTGACAAAAGACTAACACTTACCAAGTTCCAAGTACACAGCCACAGACTAGTGTCAGCAGACTACCTTTTAACAAGTTTTATGTATACAGTTATGTACTAGTGTCATTTGACTATCCCTTATCTAGTATAAGCAGACCAATTTTAAACTGGTTTCCCATGAACTAGTTCAGTACCAATTATTGTTAGTGAAATTCTAATTTTTAGTTTTAATTCATTTTTTTATTGCAAACAAATGAATACAAATATACCTTACTCTATAAAACTTGAACAAAAATAAATTAAATTTAATATTTATAAAAGCACTTGTATTTCCTTTCGCAGTCGCAGTTTCAGGGGTGTCCGAATATTCTGTAACTGGTATTGAATCTGCAAAATGTATGAAAATGTAGAATATAAAAATAATGTTTATATACACCTTACCTAAAATAACGCTGTATATATTACTTAGGGACTTCAAACTTTTTTCCATGGTTTCCCTCAATATTATACTCGTAGTAATATTTGAACCGATAACATTTTTAAACATTTCTATATTTCCTCTCCTTTTATAATTGATGCTATAATCTTTACCTAAAAATTAACAAAAATTGTATATAATATATGTTTGTTCAGCAATACATTTAAAAAATACTTACATATATGTATTGATTCTCAATATTTTTCATAAGTGATGGGAACCTATTCGATAATGGTATCTCATCACTTTGAGATCGTAGCACCATCACCTTCAACTCAGCTAAAGCATCAGCTAAAATTTTGATTTGACCTATAGTGAAAACAAACAAATTAATAATTTGTAACAATTCTGAGAAGAATGCTATAATTTTACCTTGAATTACTTTTATTATTATTTTATTACTATTATTACTTTTACTACTCATTCTTACCTTTTTATTTGTTATTTTCAACACTTTATAACTTATTTGCACAGAAAAATGATACTTCACTTCACAACGATTAGAATAAGAATGCTTTTTCCAAACAAAACGCACTTGCATGCCTCAAGAATAACGGTGCATTGTATTTTATTGGTAATCTAAAAAAAACTATTCAAAGTGGTTCTTGTTCGTAGAGATCTCATTCAAATGTTCGTTTGGTTTTTTCGTGGTGGTTTTTATTTATGCACAACTGTCGCTTCTTTGCATTACTTGGGGACGAAAAGGTGTCAATTGGTTACCTTTGCATTACTTGGGGACACATTTGGTACTAGTCCGGCTTATATCTAGTATAGGACTGGTGAAATTGAGTTAAATGGAATTTTCATTGCCAGCGGGTTTGAATTTTAATTTGTTCACACACTCCTTCTACAATTAATTTTTGTTTTGGAAACTATAACCAAAATAAATTGTATTTAAATGCCTTTATTAAAGAATATTATATTTTTTAAAGGAATATATATTAAAATTATTAAATAAATATGCATTATTTGGGGTTAATAATAATACGCCGCCTGTTTATTTACTTATTACCCCTAGTATTCTATTTTTCTTTCCTTATGTTAACGGTCACTACTTCTGACACTTGGTAGAGTAGCCATGGTTTTTGATTTACCATTATTATTGTAGAGAAAAGCAATGTAAAATAACAATTTAATATAGATTTTTTTAATTTATCAAGAAAAATATGTCTTGTGAACCTCTTAAAACATTAATCTCGTCATTAATTATGATCTAATTTCTAATAATTTTTGAAACTTAATAAGTTTGAAGACAATTTGGTCTGCATTTAAAAATATGTTGGATGACTAATTTGCCTATTGCGTGAATATAAAAAAAATCATAAAACTATTACACAAATAAATCTGAATTTCAGAAAATAAACAATAGAGAATTTAAAGAAATTTAAAAAATAAAGAGCGGCTATTGGACAAAAAATAATCGTGGGTTTAAAAAAAAGGAAAAAAATTGAAAAGTGTAATTTAGGAGTCGGTGTAAATAAGGTTTTTGTCTGAAATAAGCAAAGTTTTTTCATTATCAAAAATTGTTGATATTTTTTCAAAAATAAGTGGTTTTCTATATGTTTTCCTATACGATGAAAATCGGAGATTGTTATGATATGCATTTTTTTTAACAATTTTTACAAATTTTTCCTTTTGTTTTTAGTAATATTGGTTTAAAGATTTTTATACATTCAGTTTAAATATGAGCGGTTTCAGAACCTTTGTTTTTTGTTTTCTTTTTTTTTTTTTGTTTTGGTAACGATTTGATTGAAATTTGATAAAACATTTTTTTCTCTTTGACGTCATCCTTATAAAACGAAGCTTCACTGGCGATTTCTGAGTAAACACACACATATTACGACTTTAACCCTAAAATGTGTTTTCTCGTACTGAGACCATAAAAATGTAAAATATGTTCTTTATATCATTTTTCAATTGAAAATTCCATGACCTATTGAATCAAAATAACAATTATAGGAAAATTTCAAAAGAAATTGTTGATTGATTGTGATTGGCAAACAAATCACATAGTGTGATCACCCCTTACGAAGAAAACTGATGACGTTTAACGCTGGACAGCTGTTTATACCCATCAACGGCGCCGAATGACACATTAGGCGACGGCGTTCGAGCAAAACAACCCCCTTTGTTTTCCGAAATCAACCAATCAAGAGCAAGCACGCAATTTTATAATAATTTTTTTATAAATACATCAAACTTTGCCAGACAACAGCTAAATAAAAATATGAAATATTAACAGAAAATCGTTCAAAATTAGAGTGCAAATATTAGTAAGAATTTCTAAGCAAAGTTTAGTTATTAAAAAACAGTAGAACATAATGAAAGTCTTAGCTTTAGTTTTATTTGTACAAATTACTTTCTGTTTATTGAGTTCTGTTCTGGCCGGTCGAGATTTCTACAAAATTCTCAATGTACGTAAATCGGCAACAACAAATGAAATAAAGAAAGCCTATCGCAAACTTGCCAAAGAATTACATCCGGATAAGAATAAAGATGACCCGGATGCCTCGACAAAGTTCCAAGATTTGGGGGCGGCCTATGAAGTTCTCTCCGATCCGGATAAACGTAAGACATACGATCGATGTGGCGAAGAATGTCTGAAGAAAGACGGTATGATGGATCATGGTGGCGATCCGTTTGCCAGTTTCTTTGGCGATTTCGGTTTCCATTTTGGTGGCAATGATCCCCATCACCATGACACCCCCAAGGGAGCGAATATTGTTATGAACATGTATGTGACACTGGAGGAATTGTATTCGGGAAATTTTGTGGAAATTGTTAGAAATAAACCGGTGTTGAAACCGGCTGCCGGTACACGTAAGTGTAATTGTCGCCAAGAGATGGTGACGCGGAATTTGGGACCAGGCCGTTTCCAAATGATGCAACAATTGGTCTGTGATGAGTGTCCCAATGTTAAGTTGGTGAATGAGGAGAGAACTTTGGAAATTGAAGTGGAGCCCGGTATGGTTGACGGTCAGGAGACAAGATTTGTTGCGGAGGGTGAACCCCATATGGACGGCGATCCAGGAGATTTGATCATTAAAGTTATGCAGGCGCCACATGAACGTTTCCAACGCAAGGGTGATGATTTGTACACTAATGTCACCATCAGTTTGCAGGTGAGTGATTGTGGGGTGTTGAAGGGAAATTAAAGCGACTCAAGTGAAGGGGTGTATTTGGAAATTGCAAGTGATTGTGGGAATTCGAAATGTGGGCGGATTTTTCATTTATTTTTAAACAAGTAAGTTGAAGTGGTTTCGCTTAAGAGCGGCCTAACTTTTTCACAAAAGAGCTAAAGAGTTGCTTCGCTTGGCCGAATTCGGTTTTCTCCGATGAGAAAACATTCGTTGTCCATCAGTTTGTAAACAAACAAAATGATCGTGTTTACTTGCCAAAGAGGTTAGCTGAAAATGTGCACCTTCGGTTGGCCACTAGAACTTAAGTTCCGGCCATGGCGATGGTGTGGACCGCCATAACAGCCGATGGTCGTTCTCCGCTCGCATAAATTGAGCGTGGCATCAGAATAAATGCCAAATATTTTTGCGAAAATATTCTGGAGGGTGTTTAAGCCTTGGTCGCTCTCCACTCATATTAATCGACCGTGGCATCAGAATAAATGCCGCATATTATCGCGAAAATATTCTGGATGGTGTATTAAAGCCTTGGGCATTCAAACATTTTTGCCGCAGACATTGAACATTCTAACAGGACTCAGCACCGTCGCACTCAGTACGTGCCACCCAAGAATGGTTGTAAAATGAGGTTCCTCGCTTAATTTCCAGCGCACAATGGCCACCAAAATCTCCGGATACAAATCCGTTGGCCTATTGTGTCCGGAGTATTTTGGAAGACAAGCTTGGAACTGAAAAATACCAAAGTGTCGATCACCTCAAGCAAGTGCTTCGCCGGAAATGGGCCAAAATACCGCAGATCAACATTCGGGCAGCATGTGACGGTTTCATTGGCCGTTTGAGTACCATAATTCGTGCCAAAGCCGACCAATTCTAACAAACCCAAACTTGATCTAAAATTTGACGCTACATTTCGACATAAAATGAAATTTTTAAATTGTCAAAATATCCTTAAAAATATTTGAGGGGTTTGTCAGTCAACCATCTGGTATAACATTCTGAAACTAGAACGACTTGCTTGATAGTAGAATATATTAAGTTCCTCATATAAAAAACACATGTTGCCAAGAGATAAAACCGACGTACTTGTCTAAAATATATATATTTTTTATTTTAAATTACTAATTATTGTTTTTCATTTTTCTCCAGGATGCCTTGGTTGGTTTCACCATGGACATTTTGCACTTGGATGGCCACAAAGTTTCGGTGACGCGTGACAAAATCACTTGGCCCGGTGCTCGCATACGCAAGAAGGGCGAGGGTATGCCCAACTATGAGAACAACAATCTACATGGCAATTTGTATATAACATTCGATGTTGAATTCCCAAAGAAAGATTTAGATGATACCGAAAAAGAAGGTATGTATATATTTTAAATACAAATACAATCACACATAACTAAAACTGATAAGATTTCCCAAAACCTATTGATAATAATTGTCCCCATCTATATTTGTTTCTTTCAGAACTCAAAAAGATACTGGAACAAGCCTCAATAAATCGCGTTTACAATGGACTGTGAAAACTAAAAAATACGTTTCTAGACTAAGAAGCCATTATCATGATTTTGTAATATCATTCATGTAATTAATTCTGTTTATTAAACTACGTCCTATTATTCTCGAGAATGCAACAAAGACTTAAAAAAATAAATAAATAGAAAAGAAAAAAAGAAGAGCCAACAAACAAACACAATTTAGTTTTATAAATTAGTTTGATTTTATTTAAAAATGAATGAATAAAAGTATTTTGTAAAATAGTAATTGTCAATAAAAACAATTTAAATTCGAATTGAAATGTGTTAGAATTAACGAAAACAAATGGAATTTTTTTCAATTTAAGAAAATATGAAATTTTGTTTTTTAAATTTTTGTTTTATATCAGCCCCTATAGTACCAACATTTAACATTTTTGGGGTATTTAAAATAATCCTCCCATCCATATATTTTTAAATATCATTTATTTATAATAAACCCTTCACCATTGTCATGCTCATAATTCCCGCTTTGTGGAAGCGATACTAAATTTTAACTAAGGATTACACCTCACCTCGGAGGTAATTCGAAATATTTCAATTGTAATTTGAGAATTCTATTTGTTATTCAAATCGTTCCAATTGTAATTCAAATTAATTCAGTTGAAATTTTTTGAATTCCAATTTTATTTCGAATTATTTCAGTTCTAATTCGATAATTTCAATTGTAATTCGAATTGTTCCAGTTGTGATTGAATAATTAAATTGTAAATCGAATTATTCGAATTCTTTATTCGATTTATTCCAATTATAATTCGAATTGCTCAATTTACAAATTGAAGAAAAAATTGAAATAATTCGAATTAAAAATGAAATAATTTGGAGAACAACAGAATCATCATTCGAATTATAAATGAAATCATTCGAACTAATTCGAATTACAATTGGAATTCTTCAGTTACAACTGAAGAAATTCGAATTACAAATCAAATGTCACGAATTAAATCAAAAAAAATTTCGAATTACATCCGAAAAAGGTGTATATCATTTTCTCTCTTATTTCTTATTAAAAACAAAGTAATGTTTCCCTCAAAGTTAGCCATGACATTTGCTCTGTAAGAATTTGCAAGCTCTCGATAAAAGAACTGTCACACTTTCTCTCTAGTATTACTCTCTTCGGAAGATCTTGTATGTTAGCTAACAAATGTTAGGGTAACCAAAAATACCTATTTTTTTCCATCGGTAAAATCATAATAGAAAAATATAGGTAGTCGCATTAACGCAGCTGCTGGGACAATGAACTGTCAAACCTGTTTTTAAATTTAAATTTTTGAATGAAAAATTATTCAAATTCTTTTAAATTGTTGAAAAGTGCATATCATATCAACCTCCGATTGACATCGTATAGGAAAACATATGAAGATCCATTCATTTTTGAAAAAATAATTAAAATATTTTGACATATCAATGTTCCCAATGTTGCAATGCTTCTGCAATGGGAAACTTTATTTCCTTCGTTAGCTGAGAATTTTTGTTAATTAACGATATTATAAGCGATTTTACAGTTGCTCGACTATTTTATTTTTTATTAACTGCCCCCAGAACCACGAAGCCTTTGTCATATTATTTATTAAAAACAAATATTTTCTATTTCATATCTAAGGGTTAACGTGCAATACAGAGTTGCATTTTCTTCAAACGATTACCCTACAATGCACAGCATTCAGCTTTTGCATATAACACAAATGGACAAAAGTCGACTTCCTTATCCCTACTGTAAATCAGATGTTCTCATTGTTTACTCAGAAACCAAAAAGAGAGGGGAGATAAACAAAGCACATTCATCCCCGTTCTTACCAATAAACTGAAATATCAGTGCGATTCGTGCTTACTTTTATCGAAAAAATTCTTCGAATCTGAATCTCAGTCGGTCATTATTATTTCTTGTTGATTGATTGAAGTTGCTGCGGCCAACAATTTAAAAGTCAAACTACAACAATAATAACAACAACAGCAATATAAAGAACAAAAAAGCGCCTACAACAATGCACTGCCTATGATAAGATAATAAATCTAGATTGTGAAAAAATTAAACCAAAGTGCCTGAATTCTTCTTTTTTTTATTAAAATCTTTTAATTACTATCAATAATTGGTGTTGTTGTGAAAAGTGAATTGCGAAAAAAAACCTTTACTCAAATTAGTTAACTCTGCCTTGTGTGACGCATTTTCCTGTTTTTTGGTGTGACGCGCTTTCAAGGTCTCCGGTCATTTTGCAATAAGAAGTGAAAAAACAAATTAGTTTAAATCCAGAACAAACAACAAAAACGGTAAGTCACAAACAATGAACTTGACTTTAACACCTTATTCAATTCGCATACATTTCTCTTATTGTTATATTTGCACATTCGTATGTATTTTTATCGTCATATCCAAGTGTATTGTGGAAATATTATTTTTGCCCTGTCCAGATTGGTATGATGTTAAAAATATGGCCAGCTGGAGTGAAGTGATTCTCAGATGTTCACTGAATGCAAAATAAAAAATGAAGACAAGGTAATCGAAGGGCAAATTAATTTTTGGCATTATATCACTCATATTGGGGAAGCGGAAATCGGATGTTATTTTGAGTTATTAGCTGTAATTTTGGGTTCTCCCATATAGAAATTCTTCCCGGAAGATGTATTTCTATATAGTCTTCTAATTTCTTTATTTAAATATTTAAAGGACTTAACTGCACTAAGGCCCCTACTTACTATCAATCCATAAGAACAAAAAACTGTTCAGAATATACTTAAAAATTGACCTGACTACATCGTTGGTCCACTCAATAGACTTAAAAGAGCTGAAGAGAGCACAAGACATGTTCCATAGCCATTTAGACTTTTGTAATAGCGAATCAGGGTCGGAGATATGGCTTTGTAGAGGTAAAGGGTTTTTGGAATTCCCTTCAAAGTACGTATTCCTAAAATTGAAACGATACACGCTTCAAGAACTTATTAATAATATTCAAAATCACTAATTAATTGTGAAACCTATTCGCAAAGCCGAAGCATTTTTCGTCGTCGTTTGTCATGGTCTTTTACATTTTCTGCAAATTCAATTCAAGCTCTAGGTTCAAAATTCGGTTACTTCCTCAGACTAAAGTCAAAGATCTTCTTCGGGCAATTTTTAACACGCCGGGCAGCCGTTTCTTCATCAATTCGTGTCCAATACGAGCTAAGACGACTGCACCGTTTTTGAACGTAATTGAGCCAAAACTTTGTTTGTCTAGGCAGCCGGCGCTCTTCAGCTGCAATGGATGGGGATGGATTCCGAGGACGGCATTCATACTGTAATGGTTGACGGCACCTCTGACTGCATTAGTATGAACGCCTCTCCAACCTGCCTGATAGGCTTCTTCATCTAGAGGTGTAATGAGGAGGCACCCAGTCGCGATTCTCAGGGCAGCATTCTGGCAGGTCTGGATGTTCTTCCGCTGCACTCATATTCGCAGAACATACTGAGGTCGCATAACTTACGACAGGCCAAACTATCGCGTTATAAAAGGAAAGCAAGGTCACCTTATCCGCATCTCTGTCGGCTATCGGACCTTGATACCACTTTTCATTGTCGCATATAGCTGTGGCTAGCGTGGACGACCAATGTGACCCCTTGGATTTTACGGTAGTTCGTGGTCGTAATCATATTTTCCTCGACCTGCACACTCAGTTGTGTTACCATCTCCACAGACCATGTGGTAAATACTGTGGCCGTTGATTTATTGGCGGATATTTTCATATTCTTCGCGTAGAAGTAGGCAGCTAGCTCCGCGGAATAAATGTTCCACCTCACTCATAAGTAATCAACAATCGTCTGCCAACGTTACGATCTTTATGCCGTCTGGAAGAGCGAGGAATTCTGGGAAGGTAGAAGTTAAACAGCTTTGGAGATACCACCCCTCCTTGGGGAACTTCCTCTTCGACTTCTTTTTCCAGAATTTACAGGTACGAATGGCATTCACACATATAGTTTTTGATCTATCGTTTCCAATATGGCCGGGTGGTAGTTCTCTTTGCATTCTTTAACAGAGTGAGGTGGTTGACTGCAACAAATGCCTTTGATAGCTCAAGGGCTGTTATGGTGTAATTCTCGACTAATATGTGTGCATATGGCGTGCAATGCTGTTGTAGTATCATGTTGAGGATAGAATCCTCGCATAGAGTTCTAGGAGTTAATCTTGGATCTCGATAACATCAAACATTGATCCCTCATGCCCCCGGCTTTCACTAGTATAACTTATTGACTTTACTAATTTCCAATTTTTTGTAGTATGAAGGATTTTTTAGTGTTCGGAGGCTTTAGGATATGAAAAAGGTTTCAAGCTATGTCCGATGAACATTTTTCAATCTCAGTTCTCTTCTATGTCCACTTATTTCATTCATAATCAACATGTATTCACCGGTTTTCAAAAATGAATATTAAAAATATGCGGAAACTAGAATTAACATTTAAACAGGTACCGATATAATTAATCATTTCCAATGAATACTACCGCAATGAATTTATCTATTAAATTTTTAAATATATTTCAAGTTCTGCGAAACTAGATCAGTGCGGCGTCTCAAAAACTGGATTCAAGAAGAAGTTGAGTTGACACCATTAAAAGTAATCTGAAACAAATAATAAAAAACAAAAAAAGAAATACAAATACAAATAATAAGAATTAGAACAAGTGGAAGATAATGGTTTCTTGAAATAGTAGTCTCGTGTTGAAATTATGACATTTTTTGCAGAAAAAAAAATAATGGCTCATAGTTAAAGTCGAAATTTTATTGACCCAAAATATGGTGTTGCCTATTTCAAAGAGCCACATTCACTCCTCAATGGTCCCACACGTGTGGGAAGATGTGACAAAAAAGTTCCTATACAACTAATCGATTTGATTCGATTACCTGATACGATTAGCTTCATAACGAGTAAAAATGATGTAATCATAAAATTATGAAGATTGGTTCGCGTTAAGGCATAGTCCCCATATAACGGTACTATGCGATTTAAAGAAATTTAAAGATGTTAGGAACATTTTTTTTTATTGAAATGTACTGAAATTTAACATCTGGTGTTCTTAATGAACACCTGATGTCCTTGTAAAATAATAATATACAATTTGATATAGCTCCCATAGACCTCTTCACCCAATTTTACTTCTTTGAAGAGGTTTTAGCGCATGTTTTCTATCGATTTTGCTCAAATTTAACATTCTTGTTGGGGATAGGATAACAAATTAATTGTCAATGTGGAACATGTTTTTGATATAGCTTCTAATTGAACCCTACCACCGACTTGAGGGACTTTTCAAGATATCGACAAACATATTCAACAGGTTTTGATGTGATTTGGCATTTTGTATGACGAACACAATATACCCCTTCCTGCTAAAAACTGTCGTAAAATATTGACTCTTCGGTATACCTCCCATATAAAAGAAACTTTACATTTCCCGAATTTTAAAGGTTAAAGTGAAATTTTAGATTAAAAATATGATAGTACCAAGGAATGCCCTAGGTAGTAGAACTTAACTTCTTTTAGCAATATACTGCATAAAAAAAAAAACTAAAAAAGGAGGACTCTAAGAATTTTTATACCCTCAGCCATATGGCATTTGATGCGGCCAAAACGTGCCTTATCAAAATAACAGTTTTAGACCCTATGTGTCTTTGCACCAAATGCGGTTCAGGACATTTGGAGTCGATCTAGCGATGTTCACGACAACTCTCGAAGGAGTATCCGATTTGGTCCAAACTTGGTACATTGTAATATTATTATCAAACTTAGATCGAGTTCGGAGATGGACAATATCGATCCATTCCTTCTGGTACCTTCCCCACAAAAGATCGAACTTTTCAAAGAAAATAATTTACTGCACAGAGAGAGAAAGGATAATCCGATTTGGCTTCAACTTTGCAAATCCTAATATTTGCAACAGTGCTAGGTCAGGTGTGAAAATGAAAAATGTCGCTTAACTCCATCAAGTACCTCTCCCACAAAGGGTTAAAATTTTTAAAATTTATAACTCTTATAAAATTTGACTTGAGAGTCCGATTGTCATCAAATTACACACATCACAATATTTTTGCTAACCCAAGGTCTGGTATGAAGATGGAATATATCGGTCCACTCATTCTGGTACGTCTCCCACAAAGGGTCAAAATTTTGAATTTGAAAAATTTTGAAGCTCATAAAACGTGAAATTAACATCCAATTCCTTTCGGACTTGGTACATCTCAATATTTTCATCAACACAAGATCTGTTTTGAAGATGGTAGAGATCTAACCATTTCTTCTAATACCTCCCCCGCAAAGGGTCAAAGTTTGGAATAACCAAAACGACTATAAAGTCCGAAATAAGCATTCGGTTCTCTTTATATTTCACACGTCCCATTATATCTGCTAACACAAGTTCTGGTGTGAAAATGGGATGTATTGGAATACTTCATCTGGTACCTCCCCCACAAAGGGAAAATTTTTTTTTGAAAAATGTGAAATAATCAGCCGATTCATTTTAAACATCACACATACAAATGTATGTACTAACACAAGATCTGATGTGAAGATGGTAGATATCGACCATCTCTTTCTGGTGCTTCCCCACAACTTGTCAAAATTTTAAACAACCATGAAGCTCATAAACGAGAAATGTGCATCGGATTCCATTAAAATCCAGCACATCCAAATAGTTACATCAACACAAGGTCTAGTGTGAATAAGGAAAGTATCGGACCACTCCATAGTTGATGGAGTCAACATTTTTAACAATTAAAACTTCTATAAAATGTTAAATAAAAGTCCTATTGCCCTCGATGTTTGCACATCTCAAGATTTCTACCAATACAAGATCTGGTGGATATATGGAATATATCGGATCACTTCTTCAGTTATCTCCCCCACAAAAGGTAAAATAATAATATTTCTATAAGCAACAGTTGTAATGCAAATATGGATATATCGGTCCACTTCTTCTGGTACCTCTCACACAAAATATATAAAAAAACTGGAAATAAGTAATTATTACACATCTCAATATTTTTATCAGTATTTATTAATTCAGCCCACACTGAAATAATATTTTTAACCATATCGAAGAAACTTGGCATTTTCGGTTCTTTCACTCCCTGGATCTGTTCCAGAATATTATTATCCGTTTAGCAATTTCCCACCGCATTAAATAAATTACTTTTCTATATGCAAAATGGAAATGATTTCATTTAATGAGTCATTCAAAACAATTTCAAAAATTATTTTAAGCAAAGCTTTATCGTTACGGCTGAAGTTCAACTTGAATCTGTGG